TCAGACACACCTGTTATGATCATTACACACACCCTGTAGTAACTAGGAGATCATATGATTCAGACACACCTGTTATGATCATTACACCCGCCCTGTAGTAACTAGAAGATCATTTGATTCAGACACATCTGTTATGGTCATTACACACATCCTGCAGTAACTAGCTAGGAGATCATTAGATTCAGACACACCTGTTATGATCATTACACACATCCTGCAGTAACTAGCTAGGAGATCATTAGATTCAGACACACCTGTTATGATCATTACACACACCCTGTAGTAACTAGAAGATCATTTGATTCAGACACATCTGTTATGATCATTACACACATCCTGCAGTAACTAGTAGATCATTTGATTCAGACCCCCCTGTTATGATCATTACACACACCCTGTAGTAATTAGGAGATTATTTGATTCAGACACACCTGTTATGATCATTATACACATGCTGCAGTAACTAGATTATTTGATTCAGACACACCTGTTATGATCATTACATACTCTGTAGTAACTTGGAGATCATTTGATTCAGACACACCTGTTATGATCATTACACACATCCTGCAGTAACTAGGAGATCATTTAATTCAGACACACCTGTTATGATCATTACACACATCCTACAGTAACTAGGAGATTATTTGATTCAGACACACCTGTTATGATCATTACACACATCCTGCAGTAACTAGGAGATTATTTGATCCAGACACACCTGTTATGATCATTACACCACCTGTAGTAACTTGGAGATCATTTGATTCAGACACACCTGTTATGATCATTACACCACCTGTAGTAACTTGGAGATCATTTGATTCAGACACCCCTGTTATGATCATTACACACATCCTGTAGTAACTAGGAGATCAATTGATTAAGACACACCTGTTATGATCATTACACACATCCTGTAGTAACTAGGAGATCAATTGATTCAGACACACCTGTTATGATCATTACACACATCCTGCATTACCTAGTAAATCATTTGGTTCAGACACACCTGTTATGATCATTACACACACCCTGTAGTAACTTGGAGATCATTTGATTCAGACACTCCTGTTATGATCATTACACACATCCTGCATTACCTAGTAAATCATTTGGTTCAGACACGCCTGTTATGATCATTACACACATCCTGCATTACCTACTAAATCATTTGGTTCAGACACACCTGTTATGATCATTACACACATCCTGTAGTAACTAGGAGATCAATTGATTCAGACACACCTGTTATGATCATTACATACACCCTGCAGTAGACACACCTGTTATGATCATTACAAACATCCTGCAGTTACTAGGAGATTATTTGATTCAGACACACCTGTTATGATCATTACAAATATCCTGCAGTAACTAGGAGATTATTTGATTCAGACACACCTGTTATGATCATTACACACATCCTGCAGTAACTAGGAGATTATTTGATTCAGACATACCTGTTATTATCATTACACACATCCTGCAGTAACTAGGGGATCATTTGATTCAGACACGCCTGTTATGATCATTACACACATCCTGCAGTAACTAGGGGATCATTTGATTCATACACACCTGTTATGATCATTACAAATATCCTGCAGTAACTAGGAGATTATTTGATTCAGACATACCTGTTATTATCATTACACACATCCTGCACTAACTAGGGGATCATTTGATTCAGACACACATGTTATGATCATTACATACACCCTGCAGTAACTAGGAGATTATTTGATTCGGACACGCCTGTTATGATCATTACACACATCCTGAAGTAACTAGGAGATTATATGATTCAGACACACCTGTTATGATCATTACACACACCCTGAAACAACTTGGAGATCATTTGATTCAGACACGCCTGTTATGATCATTACACACATCCTGAAGTAACTAGGAGATTATTTGATTCAGACACTCCTGTTATGATCATTACACACATTCTGCAGTAACTAGGAGATTATTTGATTCGGACACGCCTGTTATGATCATTACACACATCCTGAAGTAACTAGGAGATTATATGATTCAGACACACCTGTTATGATCATTACACACATCCTGTAGTAACTAGGAGATTATTTGATTCAGACATTCCTGTTATTATCATTACACACATCCTGCAGTAACTAGGGGATCATTTGATTCAGACACGCCTGTTATGATCATTACATACACCCTGCAGTAACTAGGATATTATTTGATTCAGACACACCTGTTATTATCATTACACACATCCTGCACTAACTAGGGGATCATTTGATTCAGACACACATGTTATGATCATTACACACATCCTGCAGTAACTAGGGGATCATTTGATTCATACACACCTGTTATGATCATTACAAATATCCTGCAGTAACTAGGAGATTATTTGATTCGGACACGCCTGTTATGATCATTACACACATCCTGAAGTAACTAGGAGATTATTTGATTCAGACACTCCTGTTATGATCATTACACACATTCTGCAGTAACTAGGAGATTATTTGATTCGGACACACCTGTTATGATCATTACACACACGCTGTAGTAACTAGGGGATCATTTGATTCAGACACACATGTTATGATCATTACACACATCCTGCAGTAACTAGGAGATCATTTGATTCAGACCCACCTGTTATGATCATTACACACATCCTGAAGTAACTAGGAGATTATATGATTCAGACACACCTGTTATGATCATTATACACACTCTGTAGTAACTAGGAAAGCATTTGATTCAGACACACCTGTTATGATCATCACACACATCCTGCAGTAACTAGGAGATTATTTGATTCGGACACGCCTGTTATGATCATTACACACATCCTGTAGTAACTAGGAGATTATTTGATTCAGACACTCCTGTTATGATCATTACACACATTCTGCAGTAACTAGGAGATTATTTGATTCGGACACGCCTGTTATGATCATTACACACATCCTGCAGTAACTTAGAGATCATTTGACCACAGGATGTAGATTTTGAGTTTGTGTGAGTTTTGAGGGATATTGGTAAATTTTGGTCAAAATGAGGGCGTCTCCCTCCTAATGAGGGAGGGTTGACAGCTATGACTGGTACCCTAGAAATCATAATGAAATATTTATCAGCTTCATATATATTCCTTAAGGAGTCACTACACCAATATATTAAATGTAGGTCACTGTGACCAATATTTGATTTAGACTTTGTTTTTAGTTCCAATACTCTAGTATTCTTCATCAAACATCTGTGGCAGGTTTTATAAGGTCACCTACCTTAACATATTTAGTTCTTCTTGCAGCTTAATTGTATTTCTTGTACTCTTGATAAACTGGTATGGTACTCGGCAGCTTTTAAATTGAAAATAAAATTCTAGGTGAACTAGAATAGCCCATGGGCCTCTTGTTGTGAGGATGGTCACGGTCACCATCTAGCTTTTTGCTGGAAGGTATTTCCCTGTATCTGCCTCTATTTGTAGACCAGCAGACTGGGAAGCTGGGTGTCACAGGTTTGATCCCTGGTGGAAGCACACTATACTGTCTGTCCTCTTGTTACAAATGGTGTCAGTAGCGGCCTCCTTGTAGGGACAGTTACAAGCCTTTTCTATTTTACTGATACTTCACTGTTGGGAAAATGTTTAGTATTCACCCTGCATACTCGTTTAAGAAACAGAGAATATTCTGTAATTTATTACGTTTCAAAAAGACAAAAAAATATTATTTTGAGGCAACACCATTCATTGTCAATAAATAATTCTGATTGGCCAGTTTACGTATTAATTTTCTCATTTTTTGATAATAATATATATCAACTTTATTTTTGTCTTTAAACCTTACCGAAAGGTAGCATATATTTCACTTATGATCATTTAGCAATTAGTAATCCTTGATCTACATTTCTTTATCATGAAATTTACAAATTCTATTAGGTTTTTGAGTTGTTTTTAAAGTCTTGAATTTTCCGATGCAAGGATGATATAAAAAAAAATATGAAGTACAGATGTCCGTGAATTTAACAGCTCTTTTACTGTGTTGACCTGTCAAAGTACATCAACCGACATGCAGTTTATTTCTTTACAGGAGAAAGAGATTGTCTTTTAATACCTGTACAACCAATTTGAATTCTTGCGATTTTTTTAATTTACTGTAATGCTTATATTTTGTATGTCAGAAGTTCATTAAGTAATTAAACCATGATTAAAGTTGATCGAGTTTACAAGCCTTATACATTAACATTTAAAAAATACTTCAAGCCTTTTATGTCTAACGACCTAACACCCAAACCAATATGGCTCCGACATTGACACAGTGGTGACATATCGGAGATAAGTCCCCTAGCCCGCTTTAATGTCGATGATTTGATATGTTTCTGGTTCATTGTGGGGTAATGAGGTGCAAAATTTGGCCTGTATAATATATAGGTGTTGTACTTACAAACCTGTTTAGAAGTCTTGTTTTACCACTTTGTGATATGTGGGGATTTGAATTCAAATAATGAAATTTATCCCAAAAAGTTTTTTTAAATATGCTTAAGCATTTCTGATGACTTTAAAGGTTAAATACGTACCAGGTTGGGCCTTTGTAGTAAATGTCATCGTGGTAGGGGATATAACATGTGTTTAACTTTTTCTTTTTTCTATCTACGCATATGTATCCATGATATATTGGTTTTCTAAGACTTCAGGTGTATCTCACTCATTGTGATTTATTTGTTGTGCTGCGCAGTTATTTTGTTAGGTTTGTTTTGGAATTTATCAACAGCTAGGTCAGATTGAGACGGGTGCCTAGGAGGACACCTCCAAAAAGGAAGGGTAAAGAAGTGAACAAAGAAATATTCTAACGTATTGCAATAGTGAACAAGAGTGAATAATATAAGGTGATATTATAACTTAGTTCAGAATTGTCGTAACTAAGATAAATAAAGCTTATTTTTTTAACTTTTGATTTTGTTTTTGCATTTAGGTCATAAAAGGATGAAATATTTCTGTTTGTGTGTTACAGATGCCGGGATCTGACTCACCTGAAATGTACGTCATGCAGGCTAGTGCTGAGTAAGTTTTTCTACAGACATTTTCAGAATGGTATCTTTGACTCATAGGTGTATGGCAAGTCAACTGAACATTTATTCATAGAGTAATGATTTTTTGATTCTGTATTTCATAAATTTGTACATGCTTGCCAATATTTCAATTTTCCATTGGTGAGTTAGGCGTGCCGGGAATTAAAAGCTTAAAGTAGATGTGTGTATGTACACCCAAGGAAAAAAAACACTTTTCAATGGCGACTTTTGAGATGAAATTATCAAATCTTAGAAATTTGAATAATTTAGCACACTCAATGGTTGAAAATAATCAATTTCAGAATCCAAATTCTGGAATCACCCTCCAAAATAGGGAGAGTTGGCAAGTATGATTATATAAGATACCTCATATGATATATCAGATCATATTTACCAGGTATATAAGCTTGTACTCTGAAAAAGTTCTCTTATATTCTCCAAATTACTCAATGGATTATATTCCAGACATATTTGTTCTGATTCTAGAAAACTTTTAAGCGACCTGAATTAAAGTAAGATCAATAAGATGAAAAGGTTCAATTTATCTGAAAATATTAAGTTGTGTTTTGATGTGTTTTATAATTTCTATCATTTTATAAGGTCATCAAAACACATCAAAAAGACATTTCAAAACTGATATGATTCACATACATTGGTGATACTTAAGTTTTACCGTAGTGGAACTAAAATGACCTAGAATGATTGCAACATCTTCCAAAATTCTCAAAAGCAAAGCCACAATAGACAATTTCCATGAAGGTTTACGAAGGGATAGGACAGTTGCACTAGGAAAAGGATAGGGGGTACTTACAAAGGAGGGGCAGTTTTTATATCAAATACAGTAGTTGTCAGTTTGGTAATATATAATGTGTATACACCCATATATGTATTTAACCATATCCTGATCCAACAGATGATTAAATAACTCCCAATTCACGTAGTTTATGGTCCCTATTTTTATCGTTTGTGGAAATCTGGAACAACAACATTGAAGGGGAACAGTCGTTATTTTGTACCAACGCGACACAACAATAATTCTTAAATAGTACCGTTACAATGTTAACAAAAAACCTGTCAACCTCCTAACCTCTTGCAAATAGATTTAACAAAGCTATAAAGCAGCTTGTTTGAGAGGCACTTGTGAGTGGAGTGTCAGTTGTACGACCGGTAATAGAACAACATTTCGTATCGGATAGTGACAGGGTATTGGTCTATCGCCAGGTGTATATGTCTGGGGATTAAACCTGTACGCAATGTCACGGTGTATACTGGTGTATGAATACAATCAACCTAATGCCTTTTAACCATTTGTTACAAATTCCTTTTAAATAAATTCAAAAGACAATTTGTGTTGTATTTCAAATGAAGTGGTATAATGTATTTGTGCATGTCTGAGATTTCTCTGAATGAACAAACAAAACCAACAAAACCAACATACAACATGTCCATCTAAACACAGCCACTAGCCGTTAGATTATACAAATGGGTATTAAAGTCGTTAATACAAAACGTCTATATACAGTTGTATTATAAATCATTTTCTGGTGTTGAAATTTAAATTTCACACATGACTTTATCAGTTGCTTCAATTGTCATGGATTGTTTAAGAAATATAATTAGCTTATTAGTAATTATCAGCATTTATTGACAATGCTGGTCGTTCAGTCTTAGTATTGTATTTAATTAATTATGTTGTTTGTTTATATTTCTATTGAGATATATTGAATTTGATCAGCTTTAATTTATAAAACTGACATCTTTCACACTTTGACTGTATCAAAAGTGATATATTTGTCAGTGTGAAAAAATCACTTGGTAATCAAAATAATTCTTTTTATTCACTGCATCCAAATCTACTGTTTTTCTGTTCAAATTCAGATGAAGGGTTCGTAGCATAGGTATTTGATACAGATCTACTACACCATTAATACATCAGAATATGTCCCCAAATATTATCCTAGCTGTGATGTGGTACATATGTAATGGTTTTTTCGTAATTATAGGTATAGTTAAAAAATACATAAAAAATATATAAAAATGTAGCAGGCAGGCCAGACTAGGATTTCTGATCATTATGCTGTCACACTAACCATCGATCTGAGCTAGCAGGTCAATGATAGTAAACTAGCCTAGTTGCACTACAGTGAAGTCCAAAATGAAATGAAGGGAGGTAAGTACTGTATGTATATATGACAAAATACAAAGGAATTCTCTAGTGTTTTGCCTACAGTGGTGAGGGATCTTTCACTTTAAAATATTAAGGATGTTTATGCTGTCATTTCCCAAACACATGTTTATCATAGAATGTCTGTAGTTTTGTAGAGTTATATACTTACAATGTTAAATGTAAATGTCATTCTGATATTTGTCTTCTTTCAACAGACTAAAATCAGCCAAACTGAACCGACCATACACACATTCCTCCGTCCTTCCCTCAAGAAAACGTGCAATGTCCAATACCTCCAAGACCACCCTTTCTATGCGGGCATCCCGGAGCACTTCTAGTAGAAATGCGGTAGGTCTTTCAACAGTCAAACACTTGATTATATGATCAGTTGGTGGAAAGTTCTTCATCAACGTAGTCAACCTAATAAATGTCCTGGAAGCTTAGCGATTGGATCTTATGAAATTTTGAAGCTAGATATCCAAAGTTAGTGAAGTGTCTGTCCTGGAGGTCGGAGGTTCAAGGATCAAATTTTGGTCATTGTATATATTTTCCATGAATGTTACAAGCTGATATGTCCATTCCAGTGACCAGTCGTTATTAACATGTATCATGAAGTATATTTTCTCTTGGCACAAAGATACCCGAACTTCAGTTCTGTATAAATAGCGCTGACATCAGAGATTACCCTACAGAGATGATAACTTCCTTAAATGACCTTAGCTGTTAATAGGACTTTAACAAAATAAATTAACCAGCTACATCATCATTGATTCTCTTAAGACAGCAGATTAAGGTGACAATCCCGATACCAACTTCAGGAGAGTTCCAAATTGCCTTAGTGCTGATGGTAGGGGAGGGAGTGGGGATCCAAATGAAATAAATGGGGGAAATACATGGATTTCAAAGATGATTCCCAGGCTAGATGATTCCCTGAATCCCAGCAAACACCTATAGATTTCCCCCTGTAATTGATATAATTTGTCTTTCTAAGAAAAATATCTGGAATAACTATTGACTTGTAAAATACCAACATGTGGAGCTTTATGTCAGCTACCGCTGACTTGTGATTTACTGAAAAGTGAATCAGCTGTAAAAATGGTATTTTCTCCAATTCTATTCTTTATCCCACACACTTTGCTGTTCCAGACAAGATGGTATTTCGACATGGTGAGAATTTGTTTTCAAATCCTTTATATAATAGTTGACCTTTGTACTTAAACAAATGGCTACATTCATTACATTGGAAGGTGATCAGATGCAATTTTTGAATTTCATTTAGAATAATATTTCAAAAATTCTTTGCATGCAGCTGACCACCTTCTGAAAAATGTTGAAAATCTTGGTGTATTTTTTTTTTTTAAATAGATGAAACAAATACCCATGTATATGTTATACAAAGTAGATTGCATGTTGTGTTCCTTGTAATTTTAAACTGCACCCCTGTAGAACATCATGTTAAGCTGTCCTGATTTATCATTCCCATTTATGTTCCTTTTTCTGTAAAGATCCAATGTTTTTTCTGTGGTTTCATTTTCACAATGGTTTCAAAAAGTATTACCAGTATGCTAAACTTGAACATTAATTGAATTTTTTAAAGTTATTAAGGTAGAGTCCCACAATTTTTCTACTGTTTATGTCTTAGCATTGAAAAGTTATGTCCCTGTTAAATTTTTGTAATTTCCTCTATATTTTTATGAAGATTTTGAATTAATTTAAGTAAGATTGCTGAAACCATTAACATAACAAATACCATGACTGCAGCACTGTAAATTTATATGTTCCTGCTTTATGATCAAGGGGTCGGGAAATTGAACCTCCATGGTATAGATATTTTTGTAAAAAGGTAATTAAAATAGACATATTTCTTTTGTTTATAATTATTTGCTATAATAAATGGGCAGATAACTCCATGGCAGAAAAATGGAGAACAAATTTGAACTCTTCTTTGTTGGAGATACAAAACAGAACACTGGGACTCTCCGCCTTAAGTCGTAATTGTGTATCTTTGTGTGAAAATATTTAACTGACAATCTGGCAGGAAAGGTATCTTTACAGAATCCAAAAGTAAAATATAATTGTATTGCATACATTTACCACATGACCTGTATTTTCTGTAGTATCCATGCATGTTATGTTCCCGTTGAATTGCACCCGTGTTAGCCATAGCGATGTGTTCCTCAGCACACCTGTCTGTACATGTACATGTATACCGGTATCTAAGTTTTAATAGCATGGGCAAACTGGCTCCTGAAACAGGCTCCAAGGTATAGAATGAGAAATCGATACCACAGAATTTGGCAAAAAGAAATTCACTGAGAGGCCAATCTTGCTCCTGGAAACCCAAAAACAAGGAAAAGTTAATTGAGTCCTAAGATTTGTTATCAATTATGTGCTGAATATTTGGTGTCTTTTCCCATTTTGACACATGTGAATTTTTTTACTACTTTAATATTCCTGCACATAACCATAAATATGATATCTTTGTAATATTTGTCCAAGTTTTTGCACAATTGTAAATTTGGTTATATTTTCGTATTATTCCACAACTGTAAATTTTACATATATATATAGTGTACATAATATTTGTTTATTTCTATTCACCTTAAAATTGGGTAATAATGGTGATAGATTTTCGTTAGTGCACACCTTATGGTATTATACCTGTATGTATGATGGGGACAGGTGTATATAGATGTTTGCACACCTGTAGGTTTGGTATTCATGTGGTAATATTTTTTAATTTTTGCACACATATATTTATTGAAATTTCCATTATTGCATATACAGTGACAAGTGTTGAAATATATAAGTGTGATGTATACTTTTAGATGTGTTTCCAAGGTGATTTTATTCTTACTTTTACATTCATTTTTTTACTTAACCTAAAACCTTCTATATTAAGCTGTCATGACTAAATAAATTGATACCATTTTCACTGCAATAAGTGCCCCTCCTTTTATAGGTGCCCCTCCCCTTTTTGCAGAACTTCTTGAATATAATAGCATTGTCCTGTTTCCCAAACAGTATTTAGTATGCCTGCTAAATGGCTATGACCGGAAAAAAATACCAAAAAGTATTTGGTGTTTAATGTAAAAAGGAATGTTCTTCAATCAAACGAGGAAATTAATTACCCCCCCCCCCCCGGTATTAACGTCAGTATGGAGTAAAATGTGGATTAGCTGAAGAACTTTAATGAAAGGTGAAACGACGTAAAATATTGTTGGCTAATGTATTCACGCAAGACTAATACACAACACTACCAAGGGATCGGTCTCAAATCTACAGATTAATTTCCTATTTGTTTGTTTTCATTTCTATTTAAAATCTGATTGATTTTAAATCCTTTGTGAATAAGTCTGGACAAGGTTTGGCAGTAAATTAAACGGAGTTAATCTGGAATGTTTGAAAAAGTTAATTCGTCTTTGTTCTAGAACTTTTTTAAAATTCATGTGGATGAAATAATATTTCTAGAACAACAAGAATTGAATCATTATATAAGCAATAATTCAATCAAGAAATGTGGTATTTATATGACCATAATTTGCTCATTGAAAAAATATTTTCTTACATATTTACGGTAATCTATTTTAACAAAAATGATTAAAAAATAATATTCAAAACAAAATCAATCTTATTTATCTAATACATGTACCGTACAAATGTAAACATATTGAATATGAAAACAAATGTGAAGTAAAGAAATAATTAATTTCACTAACTATAATTATTCAAAATGGTTTTTTTCTTAACCATTATATAATTCTTTATCCGATAAATACACAACCTTATACACTGTTTTGGCTAATCATAAAATAAATTTCCTAGGTTGGTCAGGTGTCATTATGGCTTGTGAAACATAGCCTTAATACTTTTGTTGAAAAAACAATTAATTGTGTGTATATTGATATATGTGACTCGTGTGGTGGTTATTCTGTACATTGCTCTGTAGCTGTTGCTATGAGCCGTACGTAATTCGAGCACTGGATTCTAGCTCTCTTGAACTTCTCCAAGATTTGTAGGTATTGACGGAAACATGACTGAATATTTCTGGCACTTTCCGGCTGTCAAGCCTTTGTAGTTATTGTCACCACTGTTCAGGATATGTTCGACACCTCCTTGCTGACGAGACTTTGTAAGGAACAAATATTGTGGCAGACATTTCCAGATATTTCTGACTCACAAATGAATCCCTGTTATCGTTACTTGATACAAATGTACCAGTATTGACCTAGATGGTACTTAGTATTTCTCTCAGTTTCTATGTCCCTCCATCTTTGGACGTTTTAACGATATAGACCACATATATGTCAGACAAACAGTTGATATATCCAATGTAAATATTTATCTTGGGGTGTTGTTGGCAAGTTACTGGACATTGTGGTAGCTGTCAAGTTGACTTAAAAATCAGAAGGAATTTAATCGAGAAGTGTTTACATCGATAAAGGTCAGAAACTGTTGCGTCTTACACTGACGGACATTTTCTATGGCTTGGAGAAAGGTATGGTATGAAAATTACTGCCGATTGCTTTTACTGAAGATTTTTTTTCTCCACATGATTTGAATTTGTTACCCTGGTAAATTATGTACTTTTTAAATAGTACTTTGGATTGTCTTTGTACACAGTGAAGACAAAGCTTTAATGTTCATGAATTAACCAAATTATTCAGAATAAACAGGTTTTCAGATTATTTACATTCAATTTACATAAAAATGTGCATATATAGCATTGTTCATAGCTAAAGGTCTAGTTAATACGGGTTTTCAAAATACACAAGATTTATGTAATGAAATATCTGTCATTGTACATGTGTTTTCATATCAACAAAAATGTGTTAAGGAATGCATGTGTATGATTGTTCCTAGTTGATTGGGTCTGGTTTGTTCAGGTTTTCAGATCACACAGAATTCATATTGTGAAAGATATGCTGTTAAATTTGAATATCTACAAAAATTGTAAAGGAATATATGGCGTTCCTTTCAGAAACAGGCTAACTATGTTTATTTTTATTTTAGAGTGAACTTGTCTTCCTGTGTTAATCAGTTACAGCTATATATGGCCCAGATTAGGTAGACTCTTGTGATCTGTGTGGGACCGATTTTAAGCATTTGTCAACATAGTGTTACCTGTTTGAGGGTGCTAAAGTTAAATACCTGACCTGATCATGTATATAAATATATTACTCAGGTACGTATGTAGATAGAGAAATTTGACCTGTGTTTACTTTTCAGATTTAATCATACAATTATATCTACCGGTGCCTAACACTGAGAATAAAACACCCTTACTTCTGGTAAATCTCCTTCAGTTCTGATGTCTGAATACAAATACTCAGTGCTTTGACATTTAGAATTAATTTTCCATGCTATCCAATATGAAGAATATTTACTCAGAGGGAGTGGACCCTAATGGTCTTACAAAGCCTGTAATAAAATCTGTATTTTACATTCAGTTGAATTTCTTGGCAGATTTTTTAATACGATGCTCGTGCGATTGTGTACAATTTTCTGTGATTTCCATTGGATATTTGTATTTGTGACATTGATCAGTCCTCGAGACATTTGATGATGTCTGGTGTGAAGGTTGGTCCAAGATTTATAATAGCTAGTCTACCATTGTCCTTCAGACAGTAAATATTTGTCGATAAATCGTAGATACACATATCATGTCAAATGTGTTTTTGAAGTAAATGTATGCTTCAATATGTTTGAACTATAAATATAGTTAATGCTACATATCAGTATTATTAATTATTGTTTTTTCATGTATTTTATATTTTTTTAATATATAGATATATATGTTAAATTAATGTTTAGAAGCAAAGGAAAAGAAATCTTTATTGAAGACTGGATATTTTCATCAGGTTTAATATTTTTTCTCCAGCAAAGTTTTATAAAATTTTATCAAATTTATTACTTGGGTATCTATAGTTTAGTTTTGTGATTGTGATCTTGCAATGCTGAGGAGATATTTATTCTACAAAATAGTTGTGCTGTTTCCTGTTGAGAACCACTCCCTAGTTGAGCTGACGATATTGACGTTGTCACCTGTGCGACTTTATTATACCTCCCACAGACTACCTTTAATGAACTTCAACCATCTGTCAATGCCAAAGTGGTAACTGACAGTAGCTAGGGATAGTCTTCTGTTTTAGCGTGTTTGATCACTACGTAAGCTGGTAATACATGTGCAAACATTTCATAGAGTTTCCTGGACTTACTAGAGCTTTAAAGGGAGGTAATTGTTGTTAGGACTAATCTAGCTGTCATGTATAAGCTAATAAAATCTGTGTGGTAGCACTATACCAGGGTTCAGGTTTAGTTATATTTGACTTAGCTTGGGCTATCTTGGTAGCATGTTGGCTAATATTGCCACAGTCTACTGTCATAGCCAATGTTCCCAACTAATGGGAGATAATTGCCTCTATCATTAATGGCGGACATCTTTATTCATAAAATACTATTAAAATTTCAACTGTCAGATTGGTAACTCTTGGAGACTTATGTTTTGTTTGAATCAATGCACCATAGTGTGAGAGAATTGGTTGTCAACGAAACACATTCCTGTTTCTATAATGCATCCATGTTCCCATCAGAAATCAACAGCTAGCATTCACTGCAAAAGCCTAACATTTCCTCTGGGTTAAATATCATGGTTTCTGTAAGGGAACAATTTGGAAAGGATTATATTTCATGGAAGTATCATCTTGAAAAAAGGGTTGATTCAGCATGTGCTTAATTCCACAGATGTATTATAGAAATTGTTTTAAAATATTTTAATAAAACATCATTTTTGTGTTTTGTTAATGAGATGTATTGCTAAAGCTGATGATTGAGTAATTATCCAGTGCTGTTTTAACAGAAGTTGTTTTGTATAGTTACTGTATGTATCTGATAATAAGCCCATGCCTGGTAATAAGCCCATGCCTGGTAATAAGCCCATGCCTGGTAATAAGCCCACCCGTATCTATGACAGTTCAGTATTAATGTCAACAAATGCTGTTTCATTGTCCTGTAGTAAGCCCAGGTGCCTACTTTCAGCCAGAGATTACATGTACATGTATGTGTTAGCTCCCCTGGGCTTATTGCAGCATAAATATCTTAAGTGCAATAGACAAAAATATTTGATGAAAATAATAAATGTTTGTTTGGGTCATTTTATTAAGCAACATTCATAATATAATTTAAAGAATTCTTTATCGTGATACTGAATACCAGGATATGTTTACTGAAGTTTAATTTTTGCCCTCTGCAATAAGGGTGAATTCATCAATTTTTTAACCGCGATTATTATAAGTACAGAATTTACCCCATATAGTTATTGCATGTTGAGGGCGAAATTTACACTGGACGAAAATAGAATTTTCCAGTGAAGGGCTAGTATTTGACTGGGTGAAAGCTTGCCGATATACAGTACATAATGTTAACAAAAAATACCTTTATAGTGTAGTTTTTGTCATATCAGGTCATTTGCCTATACGTTTATATTTATAAACTTTAATGTCCCTACAGACCATGCCAGGAGAAAAACGACAGATGAAGTCAGCTCACAGTGAACACTGGAACAAAAGTGAGCAGGGCCAACGTCTCAATCGGGAATGGTCAGGTGTCTCAGACAGTCGTGCTCTGAAGAGGTCGTCAGAGGTAGGTCAAAGGTCAAATCATGATTATCAATGGTAAGTCAGTGTTGTTTGATCAATTAGACACAATTGCAAGAGGTCAAAGGTCATTCTCATGCTAATTACCAAAACTCATTTAAGGTGAAGAATCGCACCAAGTTTAAATATATGATTTCAATTTGGCATTACATTTTATTATGAAATATTTGTTGAAGTCTTTTTGTACAGATGAATTCCCAAACACAATTCATTTTGCAATGTATTTTGCAGTTGTTTGAAATTTGAGAATTTGAAATGAAAAAAGAATTTGTGACAAAGGAAGTAACTCTTCAGAAAGGAAAAGTAATTTCATATTGCTTTATGTAAGGTAGAATATTCAAAATAAAATAATACAGCTTTTAAGTGGAATTCTTTGTACATTAATAACGATACAGACTGTAGTGCCCTTTTCTTAAAAATACTACTTTTTCTTAATAAGATTGATTTTTGCTTTCAATTTGGACATTTAAGAGCGCCAATCGACCAATAAGTGTTTATGTTTGTAAATAACTTGAAAACGGGTCAATCATCATATCCATCATTTATGGCTGATTGCACAAGAAGTAAACAGAACTAGTGCAACATTTGTGTTGATTCAAGCCTATAATTACATCTCCCCATTAAACCAATTTCCATGGATATCATATATCATAATTGGTGGTCGGTGGTGTATGGGTGTAATGGTTAGAGTCGACATTCTATGACCTTGTTCTATGAAAAATGGTCTAGATCTACATTCTTGAATATTGACGAAACAACTGGATAAATACTGTTATCCTCTAAAGTCAGCTTGTTTTCCTCTTTTTTTTTCTCCAACATTGTAAAGAAAAATTGTTATTGAAAACATAAAAATATTGTGTATTCATTAACGTAGGTGAGAATGTTTTGAAGAAAATTCATAATTGTATAATGTGACAGTATTGTGAAGAAAATATGTTATTAATAAAATAACAATATGAATTTGTCATATTTTGCGAGAGATTTATCATGTTATTTAAAAACAATCATTTTCAAACTTTAAATTTCCTCATTTCTTCATGAATGAAAATTTGCATGAAGAAGGATGGCAATGACCAATATTGTAAAACCAGGTGCTGGAAACACATTTAGTTGTTTAACCAAAATCCAGCGTACTTAGAAAATCCACTTGAAAGTTGTACACATTTGTATAATTCATTTTACCATATTTGACGAAAAATTAGTGGAAATTTAAAGTTGAATGCCTGGGTAATTGCAAAATCGTATAAAATACAGAATATTTTAGAGACCGGGTGTATTTTTGATATCTTAATACATGCTGTAAGATTCCACTTTGCATACATCCTCCTGTATATGTAAAATAAACCTGCTTAATTTGCGAACATGCCTATTCTGAAATGAAAACTTTGTTTGGTTTCCTCACCCTGATATATCATCCTTTCTCATCGATATCTGCAGATTCTGTCACATCGAGTAGATCGCATGTACTTTATGAACGGCAACAACATCCGACTCAAGTCGAAGTACCTGGTGGACGAGGAGGAATTATTACATCTCCGGGACACTTCAAAGTCACGGCAGTACTCTAACCAGCCTCGGTACGTCCAGTGTTGGTTAATCATAATATATAGCCGCAATATAGCCGAATCATTATCTACAGGTGCTTGAATCGTTTGATCCTTCCATCTTTTAAAAAAAGATCTTGGAAACTGGATTCCAATCACTGGATTGCTGTTAACTGCAGTCTCCTAGATATGATTTACTGTAACTAAGTAGAATAAAACAATTCAGCGAAAATCACTTGACGTATGTTTATGTCCTTAGATAATTATTCTGCTACACAGAGTTTAATTTATTATTTAATTATATCACATCCCACACTCGGCTTTAAACTATTTTGTCAACATTGATTAAATTATGTTGAATTCACCAAAATTTATTAATGGTATCAAAATTTTGTCAAAATTGGTTAAATGATATCAAAATTTTGTCAAGATTTCTCAATAGTCAAATGTAAGTACTCGTAAAAAGTATTAATTTTGAAGCACTTGACATTATCATCAATTTATTGAAGACTTGATTTATATTAGAACCTATGTATTGTGGAACCTTTCCAATCCAGACATTTGTAAAGTTTCTATAGTTACGAATTTTTAGAACAGGAATTTTCATTTAAATATGCACAAATTACTTCCTCAATATAAATGTCCACACTATGAAAACCTCCTGGTAATTTGAAGAGTCAAAGGGATGTAGTTTTTAGAATTTTTAGAACAGGAATTTTCATTTAGGTATGCACAAATTACTTCCTCAATATAAATGTCCACACTAGGAAGCCTCCTGGTAATTGGAGGAGTCAAAGGGATGTCGTTTTGTACTGAACCAAAGTGACATCATGTGAAGATGACCGGTGAAATATTTTAACGGTTCCCCACAAAATTGCATCACAATATGTAAAAAGTAAAAATTGAATGGAAAAACTTACGTCAAAATTTTAGATTTCAAAATGGTTCATTTGTTTCAATTAATGGTTGAGGTTTCAGAGAGATGTTTTGTATGGCATATATCTAAAACATATTGTATATAAATTAACTTATTACATGTTATGCATTGCCTTGTCCCTAAATAGGAGTGATTTCCTTTCCCCCCTATACATGTACTGTGTCCTATACATAAATTTTATAGAAATGTAGTTATTTATCTGTAATAGAAATATAGCCTTCTGTGTATAACAATTGTAGTAAATGTAATAGTTTAGTTTTATGCTGGTGTATACCTATTGTTAGCCAATTCCTTGTAGACGCATGTATAGTAGTTCATTCAAAAATGAATACACTAGTTTTGCCTATATTGACTTCAAGGCATTGCTAAAAACATGTCTTTGTGAAATTTGTTCAAATTTCAATTATGAAATGTCACCAACCAAATTTTAATACCAATTTAAGCCATACTTTTCATCAGAGTAATTTTTGAGCTTATAATATTTCAGTCCTAAACTAAAGAATGGGTAAGAGGTCATTCAGATTATGTTAAATAAAAACAATTAATACTTCCATAATTTCTTGATTTCCAATCTGATTAATTTATTTTTTAAGCGATTCTGTAGAATTTTATAATATTCTCAACATCTAAACTTTTCTAATATTGAACATCAGCGACAGAGATAGAAAGTTTGTAATACTTGAAAGAATTCATTGCATGTAGTGTGTCTGTTTGGCTTACGATTGGTTAGGGGTGTATCATATGTATACATGTGGCAGGTGGACGGGACTGTTGTGTCATGTTAAATGGTAGCCAAATTAAACTCTCCTGTTGATAAAATTCGTATTTTCACGGGGGAAAATCATTGATTAATTGGTATTATAGGTCTTTGAACCATTTACAGCTTTTGATTTTATACAATGTTCTATTTTTGCGCATATTTAAAAAATATTTTGCATTGTGTTTTGAAAATTTAAAGTCTGTTTTTAAAGTGAGTTCACTTATTCACCTGTATTGAATTTACATGTCACCTGACCACGTCAATTTCACTGTCACAAAAATGATTAATCTGCAAAAGTTGTATGTAAATACTGTATCTGACTAATATTAATTTGTAAATAAAACCTTGGTACAATAATGTTATTGTAAATATATATATTAAAGGCATCGGGCAACAAATATGAGAGGGAAAAAAATTCTGAATCATCATTAAAGAGAGAGAAAAATTAAGGAAAATTTGATTTCTGTTAAGTTCAACGGAGAGTTAAGTGTGATTACAGAAATGGTAGCTGGGGCTTTGGTTAGAGAAATAATAGCATGTGCATGGGTACATATTGTACCACGGAGGTAATGTGTTTGTATGGGTGTACTAAAATCTAACAGAAGTCCTTTTTCTCCCTTCACCGTTTCCTCAATTAACTGATCTCCTCTGACTGCCTGCCGTACATTCCTATTGTTCCCTCCTTTCATCTTGCATTCTGTTGAAGTCACATGATAGTTTCTGAATCTGAATCTTCTGTACAAGAGCTAGCTTACAGCTAAGATTTGGAAAAAAAGGGAAAAAATCGTTTATGGATTTAAAAAAAAAAAAAAATACAGAATGAATACAAAATGCTTTAAACAACTGGTTCCGAAGGACCAAGGTGACCTTATGCCATCCTGTGGCGTCCGTCGTCCATACGTCAACAATTTCTTCAAACGACTTCTTCTTCTTAACCACTGATTGGAATTTAACTAAATTTGACTGGAAGCATTCTTAGGTTCAAAATTGTACAAATGGTTGGGCTGACCCCGTAGGGGGCTGAGGGGCGGGACCAAAAGGGGGCAATTTGGCTATATTGAAATAAATAACTTCTTTTGTAAAATTATGCACTGGACATCAAACATATTTGGTCGTAAGCATTCATGGGAGGCAGGAATTCAAAATTGTACAAATGGTGGGGCTGACCCCCAAGGGGGCTGAGGTGCAGGGCCAAAAAGGGTTATTTGGCCATATTATTTATGCGACTTCTTCTCTGGAACTAAGAGATGGGTATCAACCATATTTGACTGGAAATATCCCTAGGTGGTGGGGGATTCAAAATTGTACAAATGGAGGGGCTGACCCCCCAGGGGGCTGAGGGGCAGTGCCAAAAGGGGGCAATTTGGCTTTATTGCTACATACAATAAAAGTGTATTACTTGGAAATGGTTGAGATTCCCACTCTATAACCATATATACAATAGCTGAGTGATAAAGAGAAGAATGCACATATGCTTCAAGGATAGTCATGGGGTCTGGCCCCACCCTTGGAGACAAAGTCCCTGGGTCATAACTTGGAAACGGTTAAGATCCCAACCCAAAACTATATATACAATTGTTGGGCATAAAGAGATGAATGCAGTCATGATATTAGAATTGATCCTTGGTTCTGGCCACAACCTTAGAGACCTAGTTTCTAAGTCACAGCTTGGAAACAGTTGAGCTCCCCATCCTATAACCATACATAAATTTGCTTGCATGAAAAACCTAATACATATATGCTACAAGGATTGGCCTTAGGGTCTGGTCTATTCTCTTTTGGAGAATATTTTGCCATGATTGCCTAGATATCTAGGTGAGCGATACAGGCCCTCTGGGCCTCTTGTTATATGTATCAAGATCATTGTAATGTTATTTTAAAACAGAAAAACAAAATGAGGATTTTGTGTGTATAGTTATTGAATTTATGATATACATTTTTACAGGGCAGAATTTATTTTTAAATGTCCAATATATCTATAAAACCATGAAGACTGAGTCGGCTTTTGAAAAGCTGATATTTCTGCTCTACTTCTGTGTATTATTATATCATTTTCATTCCATAATCCCTCTCATAAAATGTAGAGGTGAATGATTCAACACCGACTCAACTCTTGTTCATACTCCTTTTTTCTATACTTCTGTTTCATATTAAGGTAGAATATAAAAAAATATATGTATATTCACATTCTGTCTAATTTCTTATTTAACTTTTCTTTCTATCATTTTCATTCTTTCTAAAACTTCCTAATATTTTCTTTCCCTCTGTCTGCCTTGCTGTGCCTGTAACTGCAGAAGGTTCATACGACCCAGAGTGAACTTCATGGACAATTATCGGGAGTTGTTTCGTAGCTCCTCTCCCTCCCCTTCTATTGAAGATGGCCATTCCTCGGTCACACCTTCTATCTCTCCTGCGATGCCTCTGGCCCCACGTCCTATGTCCAGCTGTCAGATGTGTAACCACAATCAAAACAAGCCTGTTCCAAAGTCGGTCAGCGAGGAGTCTGGTATCCAAGACGATGACTGGCAGGAAGAAGATATTGAAGTGGCCAAGGGAGAGCCGGAGGTCACATCAGAGTCGAATAACTCCAGGCCGGTCAGTAAGGTCAAAATCAAGCATATTCAAGTTCATGATACACCACTCAGCATTATTGATATCCTGTCACACGGTGAGATGCAAGCACTCGGTGACTGTATGGTAAAACTGCTTGAAAATTACCCGCAGCCAAAAAAAGTGCGTACCACATATGAGGATGTGATCTTTAACAACATGGGGTTGAAGCATCGTAGAACTCGGATCAACCGAAGAGTTTACGGGAACCAGAATTCGCACACTCAGAACTACAAGAAGATCTCCCACTCGGCACCTCCTCCTAAAACTGCTCAAAGGACTGACCACAAAAGTAGGAGTCTAAGCTCTGACCGCAGGAATCGGAACAGAGATCTCGCACACGAGGAATTACTTCAGAAGTTTCCCAAGAGAAAACCTAATTCTAGGATAATGATGTCTCAGATTACGGAGCCTGTGGAATGTGACTGTCGTAAAACTTTACCTGGAGGTGGATTATCATTTAAAATTAGCGGCACGCAGGCACCAATCTTCCTCAAAATTGCAGCCAATGATTGCAAAAATCATTTAGACGTAGAATATCATTTACCTTAATCTATTACTGGTGCTATACATAATAGACTTAATTTAGTATGGGAGTGAATTGAATTGATATTAATATGTAGCAAAATTACAAGTATAGAAAGGTTAGATCCATCTTAAATTAGATAAAACAATCTTCTAACCCTCATACAACATCATCTCTGTAAGTACTATGAACAAATATTAAAACTTTCCAGCCATGAAGTTTGTACATTTTCCTCTGTCCTTTTTCATGTTTAAGAAATGCAATAAAGCAATGATCATTTATTTATTTTGTTATGGAAAAAACACAACAATTTCATAATTTATATCCTTGATTAAAATATATTCATTTATATAAACTGTTAGATTCTTTAATTGGAAGCATTTTATATGTTCATGTGTGTTCAGCGATGTAGATTTTTTCAGCTGGCATCAATTTTAAGCATTCAGCCAGAAAGTGTTCTGCAAACTGTATCATGGATATTTTATAAATATTTCACATTTTCAATATATCTTTTTTCTATCTTTTTTTATACATTCTTATTTTTTTGTCCAAATCCAACCTGTCTTGATTGCTCATTATATCAAATTTGCTCTAAAATAACAAATCTACTGACTTTGTTTTAAAAAAAAAAAATGTGGAAGCTAGAAATTCTTGGTGATCGTTTCATTGTGATAATGTCACTTTCCACCTTTAGGGTTGTTAAAATGCCATCTTGGTAAGTAGTTATGTTTTTGCTGACCTTCATTTTCATTGTCACATATAATAATACCTGTTTACATTTGAGTAGTCCAGGGCCTGTATTTACGAAACTGTTCCTGTGCTCAAACTGGGACTCTGCATGCGCTCAAGCTAATTTTCTTGCTCCAGAAATAAATAAATAAAAAAATCATTTTCTCAATGACTTACAATAATTTTGGAATGATTTCAAATGGAATACCATTTACAATGTTTCCTCCTAAAATTTTGACCATGTCACATGATATAAGCAAGTTATAAGAAAGTTGGTTTCAGCACACAATCCAAGTTTGGGGTGAATCACCAGTTTCATGAATATCGGCCCAGCTCTCCATTACAGGAAGGGTCCTATGGCTTTCAGTGGTTGTGAATCAATATTGTATACAATAAACAGGCCACACCTTTACGACTGTAGATCAATTGTAGCTCACTTAATTGTATTACTAAGTGAATACAGGTACTAATTTAAATATGTTCTTCCATCTTTTTCCACTAAATAATTGGAAAACCATGCAATTAATAAATTCAATTTCACTATTAGCTATTTGTAGATTCTGTAGATATCACTTGAAATGGGATATAGATCATATATTTTCCCATTGTAGAATGGTAACATCAGTGTATTATGACTCCATCATCATCTTGAGATTATATACTTACTAATTGTCATATACACAACTAATTCTGATTCACTATTCAAAAATATTTTCTCACAATCATGAATCATTCATTTTTTATGGTAATTCAAGGGAGATTAACAGAATATTCAGGGAGATAACCAAAATATATCCAAGGGATATAACCAAAATATTCAGGGGAGACAACCAACATATTCAAGGAAGATAACCAAAATATTCAAGGGAATTAACCAAAATATATTCAGGGGAGACAACCAAAATATTCAGGGGAGATAACTATTGTAGATTTGATGCAATTTTTCCTTTTTTCCCCCACTGAAGTCTATTGCAAAAAAACAATTATATTAGGATGTGAACAGCTGCAGAAGTTATTTTAAGGTGTTTTAGGAAATCAAGATGATCAAGGTGAATCAGCATAGTTGTGTTGGTGACAATTTAGGTACATCTCAATATCGTTTTATTCAGCCCTCTCCGCTGCCTCACCCTCACTCAGCTCTCACCCTCTCAGAATGCTCCAGCTTACAACAACATAACCAGACTTCCTCTTTGTAATGTAGTGTAAAATTGTTTGGTTGTGTGACTGTGATATTTATTTATTTAATTTCTTACCTCATCATAAAGCTCTTGGTTATGTGTTCTGAGAAATTAGTTTAAATTTAAAAATCCTTTCGTGTACATCTATACATACTGTGTATGATAAGTATTGATTTTGTATGGCATTTAACACTGTAAAAAAAGAAAGTATTTCACATTTTATAATCTCTTATGTACACCTCAAATAAGAAATACCATATTTAAGGCACATATATGAAAATGACATATCATCTGCAATAATGGAGGAATCCAGTTCTTAATTGTTACATAAATCTTAACAAAAAAATAAGATTTCTGTACACAAAAATTCATTATTGATCGAGCAAGTAATAATAATCTGATCCAACTATTTTTAACGTTTTCTTTTTTAAGTTTTCAAATCATTCTTTCAGTATCCTGCTCTTGTAGCCTTTGACAATCTTTGGGTGCCATCATCGTTTTATTATTTGGAGATTTCATGTCAGGTTTCCTTCCTGTGGGAATATTTGTAGTTCTTACTTCAAGTTTCTTACTTTCGATTTTCCTTTTGGAGTAGTGCATTTTTTATTTAAAATTTTATATTTTGATCTTCGTTTTGGAGTATTGGAGCTTATATTTTAAATTTGATCCTTAAATCATCTCTTTTGAGTATTGGAGCTTTTATTTTAATTTGATCCCTAGAGAATCATTATCATTTTGAGAGTATTTCAGCTTTTATTTTATATTTAATCATTACATAATCATTTTGGAATTTGGAGCTTGTATTTTAGTGATAGCTAAAATCTCATTTCGTAGAATACATGTTCTCAACTTAAGTTACATATCTGAAGAAACAGATGACCCATGTATGAACTGTCACAAACAAGGAATAAAACAGAGGTTTATTAGGAACTGTAGGAATGACATTTTCTCCTATGATTGGTTCCAACTTTTTTTCCATAATAACATCTGCAGTGTTTTTGTGATCTAGATCTAAATGTTTGTATCTTTTTTTCTTCTTGTTGTTTGTTTTCAGTGCAGACACTAACAAATCATTACAGAGTATACTCTGAGGATTTAATCCTCCAGACCATCATATATGTAGATAGCACTACCTACATAGTGTATTAAATTCTTATCATGAAACCTGTCTAATCTAACCCCTGAGTATTCTGTGACATCCTGTGAAATCTCATATATAGCAACAAGATAGAATATAAATCTTACTTTGAAACCTGTCTAATCTGACACCTGAGTATTCTGTGACATACTGTAAAAGGTTGTAAAATGCTATAAGATGGTATATTTAATTATCACCTTGAACATGTTCTAATCCGACACCCTGAGTATTCTTTGACATCATGTAAATCTTATAAACAGCCATAAGATGGCATATTAACATGTTACTTTGAAACCTGTGTAAAGTGACCCCTGATTTCCTGTGACATCCTGTGAAATCTGATATACAGCTCTATAATCTTTATTGTGTTGTACATACTTGTATATATGTTCTTGGCCATGTGTGAGAAGAGTCTGTGACTCAACATGTTATTATCGAGTATAAATAAAGTCTTTTATTATTATTATTATTATTATTATTATTAAACAAAACCTGTATATTATGAAACACTCTCTTACACAACCAAGTTGTTGGATCACACAGGGTGTCTGATTCGACAGTTTTCACTGTTAGCAAACTTTACGTATTCTATCTGTATGATGTTTGGTCTAGATGATAGGAATATTAGGTTACAACTTTGATCTTCATTCTCTGTCTCTTTGTGTATGAACCAACAAAAGTTCGTTGAAGCTCACTAGTCTTTTCCTCCAAGATTTCATAGTTGATTCATTGATGTCTAAATGACTCAACTAGTTTTGTTTTAGCTTCCTGTTCCATCCCAACCCTCACAGATTTAATACCCTCACTTTACCCTTCACATGTAGTCATAGGTGTGTAGGTCTATATGTATATGTTGCTATGAAATATGAAGATGATTTTTTGTTTTATGAATATATAACTATTCATTATCTTTATAAACATGTCTTAACTATTTTTTTTGTTTTTTTTTCCCCAACCTTCCTCTTTCTGGTCCCTTTTACAACACATTTCACATTTTCAAAATTGAAAAAAAAAAAATCTTCAAAATTGAAAAAAAAAAAAAAAATATTATTTCCACTAAAATTAATTAAAATAAACATTTAATTATCAAAATGTGTTGTATACCTCATCCCCTGCTTCCCTACTTTCTACCTCCCTATACAGTGGGCCATCCTCACGAATGTCAAGTCACCGCCCCCTCAACAGTGGCAAGTCAAAGGTGAGTGACATAAAACTTATTTATATATAATTCGTTAAATATGATCGAATGTCTTGATAAACTGGTGAGTTGTTGTCAGGATCAGTTTGACTCAGAGAGGATATTAATGTTCTTGGAAGGAAGTGGTGAAAAGAGAGTATGTGCGTTCGCTGGGGATTTAACCAATGACCTCCGACTTTCTACTGAGGTGCTCTATCACTGAACTTTAGGGAAATTCCCCTTAGCCAGATGTTGTAAGTAAAGGTTATTGCATGGTTTTCGAGTAACAAGGGATTTATTACACCCGAGCGAAGCGAGGGTGTAATAAGTCCCGAGTGACGAGAAATCATGCAATAACTGGCTTACTGCATGCTGCCCAACTCGAACAAAACAGAAAAATTGAGTAAAGAATGTTCACCTGGACAATCTTTTTATCTACTCTACACTGCAGATAATTTACATGTACCTGTGTGAGTAATAATCACAACCAGGTAAGATTGTCTTTATTCTCAATAGCCCAGTCTGAGTGTATCCTTCATAATGGATACAAGTGTTTTTGGATTACTATCCAGCTCCAGTGTCAGGGAAGTTAAGGAGTGTCTGTTCAACAATAGGAACAAAATACGGGAAACAATGTTGAATTTCTGACTACATTTTCAGTTTAATTTTCAAGATGTGGCAAAGGTACAGGATATTGAAACCATTTTCATGCATACAATATAAGGGTTTAACAATCTCTAAGGAATTCCAGTTCTTTCATTAATGGTATATTTGAATGTGCAATTTTGTATAAAGGAACAGCTTCTAAAGATTATAAACTTTTCCAGGAAATGCTTATCCTCTCACGTGATAAGGAAATCTTTTTGTTTGTTTATCAATCATGAATTACCATTTTTAACTTCTTCTTTTTTCTTATTTTAAATGTGTCAACTTATTATATAAGTTTATCCTTTTCCCTGTATTGTTTTACTGATTGATTATCTCCCCTTTCTTACAGCATTTGTGACCACAGTCCACTGGGCACACACCCTTTCATGGTCATGTACTCATGATTGGCCTTGAAAGAGGATTATGTGTGCAGTGGACTGTGGTAGCAAGTGATTTATTGCCTACACTTTTTCATTGTGAGAGGTGGGAAGTATGCAGTAAGGCCACTTAGACACTACGTACAATGCACCTTTACTCTTCCCCACTTTTTCCAATTCTTTGACCTCAGAGACAACCACCACCCAGGTTCTATTGATCTTTGCGAGCGAAGTGTTCTCCTCTACCTTGAACAGGAAAGGTCAAAGGCACCAGTTTGTGATTGGCAAAAAGTAGTGAAATGAATTATGTGCTTTTGCTGGGTGTTGAAACCATGATCCTAGACTTTCTAGTCAGGTACTCTACCACTGAACTATAGGGGAAAAAAATATATTGAGGCTATTGGAATTATGCACTTAGTTTGTATTGATTACGATTAAAATTTGTGGTGAGTTTATAAATTTGTTGGTCGTTGACAATCAATTCTTTGTCAGGAGACAAAAATATTAATTTTTAATGTTGAAAACATAAACATTCTCATGATAAATATCATGTTTATCTTGCATGTATAGAACTGTGTTTATACATCAGTAAGCCTGGTAATAAGCCCATCCATATATCTATTGTAGTTCATTAGAAATGCCATCAGATGACACTTCATAGTCCTTTAATAAGCCCACCTTCTCCCACAACTTTGAACTGAAGATATATGTGTTGAAGCCCCTGGGCTTAATGCAGGATAAGATGATGACACAGTCAAAAACTTACCTCTGAATTGCACTTCACAACTTGATAACAGATGGTTTGAAATAAATATTTTTTATCCCTTTCAGGTTTCAGTAGATGAAGCTGCAGAGAAGAAAGACAGGGCCAAAAGTCTTGGTAAGTTTAAAACACCCACTCGATAAGGCTACAATTGTATTTTTGTCAGTACTGTTAAAGTGTTTAACTTAGCAGTATTCATATTTTAGTGTTTTTCAATCTTTAAACATTTTCTGAGTTTATGTTTGCAATAGTTGCCCAGTCTCGGCCTTAAATTTAATATTCGTGACACTTAATGCCGCCACCATGTCCCCCCGACCCCCCACCCGGATAAGGATGTTTCAATGATTTGTATACCATCATCCTCCCTGGTATGAGGTGGCAAATTGGCTATTTATGAAATTTCAGGGGTGAATGAGTTAAACCCATATTATGTTTATTTGTATTTCTAAATATTTCCATGTTAAAAGGCAAAAGTATTTAATTCATTGTGTTCATTTATTATCTCTTTCATATTTCAGAGAATATTATGACCACAAGGAAAATGGTAAGCTTTGTTTTTTTCTTTAGATAGAATCCATTTATATAAAATTAAGAATTGAATATGTTGGTATCTTAGTTTGTTTTTCTATGGAAAGCTATTTTTATCAGAACGAAACAAAGTGAATATATCTCTACCTTCATTTGGTACATTTCAAACAGATTGATTTTTGTTCATTAGCCAACACTGAAAAGTCAATGAAAGTCCCAAAATGGTCACTGAAAGTTCTTCATTTTAAAAATCCCAAATCATTTGAAAGTCCCAAAATGTTCACTGAAAATCCAAAAATATTCACTGTAATTCCAAAATTGTTCACTGAAAATCCAAAATCATTCGCTGAAAGTCCCAAAATGTTAACTGAAAGTTCAACATATGCACTGAAATTCCTAAAATATTTACACAAAGTCCCAAATCATTCACTCAAAGTCCCAAATCATACACTGAAGGTAAGAATATATTCAATGAAAGTCCTGAAATCTTCACTAAATATCCCAATATATTGAACACTGAAAGTCTCGAATATATCCACCAAAAGTCTCAAAATATCCACCAAAAGTTTCAAAATGTTCATTGAAAGTCCCAGAGACTCATAATTTAGGTTTCAATAAAAACTTTCATATCTTTTGATTTAGTAAGAAGTTTTTAAAGTATTGAAGTAAAATTTTGATTTAGCAAGAAATCTTGGACCCAATAAAAGATATTTAATCGCAAGAGTATAGTCAACACTTTTCTTAATTTTTTCTCACAAGGATAATACTGAGATAGAAAGAGGCAAGAGTCCTCTGCATGGCTGGGACAATGACGGAGACAGAGAGGAGGATTTAAGTGTGAAAGGCGCGGTAATTCGTAAAAAGTCCTTCCATGAAGATCAGATTGCAGAAGGTTTCAAAGACAGTGCGCCAGTCACTCAGCGGTCAGACAAGGCATCCGTTAAAAATGAAGATGGAAGTGGAAAGGCAGAGGAAACTGTGGAAGATGAATTTGACAAACCTGAAAGAGCAGACGGGCGACAAAACCCTGACGATGTTATAAACACAGATAATAATGTGGTTGCAGTAGATGATGATAATGAGAAAGAGAAAAATGTTGATGACGTAGAGGAAGGTGAGAAAGATGATGAAGATGAGAATTGGAAAATGAGGAAAACGGAAGAGGAGGAGATTAAAGAAAAGTTAGATCAGAACAAAACAGAGGACAATGGTGTTGAAATAGAAGACAAAGTTGATGGGAAGGATGACGAAATTGTCGATGGTAACACAAATGAGGACAATGAAGAAAAGAATGTGGTTCAGGATGACAGTGCACAGGAGGCAGCCGATGAACCGCCTACAGAGGAAAAGGTCGAGGAGGAAGAGGTGTCGGACGAAAAGGTCGAGGAGGAAGAGGTGTCGGACGAAAAGGCAAAGGACGAAAATGTTGATGAAACATAAACAGTGGTTCTGGGGTCAGATTATTGCTTAATGATTACAGTTCTTGCTTTGTCGTAATTATGTCATTTTGTGTGACATGATAAACAGTTTATCTGTATGTAGGGAGGGGTATCATTTTGTGTGACATGATAAACAGTTTATCTGTATGTAGGGAGGGGTATCATTTTGTGTGACATGATAAACAGTTTATCTGTATGTAGGGAGGGGTATCATTTTGTGTGACATGATAAACAGTTTATCTGTATGTAGGGAGGGGTATCATTTTGTCAAATGTGAAATATAGAAGTACACCAGAATTTATTCTTTTAAAAATCTAGAATTTTCTTTCCTGTGATGACGATTAATCTATAATGCTTTAAAATCATTTTGAAAAATAAAGTGCTCCTGTCATTCTCACAGATAACATTGAAAGACCATTGCTTTAAATAATGAATTTCACTTATTTTAAGCCAAATTCTACAGTTGTTGTGATTTCTCCTAAAAAGTTAAAGCATGAAAAAAAAAAAATGGAACAACAAGTTCTAATACATATATTTATACATATCTTAAAATCAAATGGAAAAAAAAATCTGAAATAATTGTGGATCTCTCAGTCATCAAAGTGCTTTTTTTTTTAATAACTGGTGTGGTCACCTTTTTTGAAGTACGCTATACATTGATGTAGTGTAGCTCTGAGCAATTATTTTTGTCACATTTATGTATATTGAAATGTTACATTTCTTTACATATATAAATTTATATACAGTTCGACTTGCTTATCCAGAAATACATGTGCTTTTAAAAGTGAGTTTCTGTTGAAATTGTTCAGAATTGGGTTTTTTAAAATTATATTAGAATACTTGATATTCCACTTTGATATTTGAAGAGTTTTTAACTTAAATATCAAATAAAAATTATATTTTATACTTCAGTATAGTATAACCTAGTGCCTTCAGTATTTCTGCTCCGGTTTATTTTGTAACTTAATGTTTTCAATTTCATACAAAATGAATAAACAGTATCAGTCATTTTTGTTAATATATTTATAAATGTTCATATATTTATCTTAATGTTTTCTGAGAATTTATTTTTATTTTACACATTCACAACAGTTGTGAAAATATCCGCAAGTGTACAACTATTACTCTGTGTATTATTACTGTATATGTGATATAAAACACTCGGTATGCAATGTAAGTGTATCCGTGTACTCTGAGTATATTGAACAGTATTATAGGGTTTTACTTTCATGAACACCATGAACTAAACATTTTGAGGTTAGGTGTCTTTCCTGTGTATGGTAGATTATTGGGTGGGGAAAAATGTATATAAATTTATTTTTTTAGAAAATATATGTAAGAATTATTTCGATACCATAGCTGCTATGTGTGTACACTGTGGTATATGTTGTCATGACTTGTAAATGTGAAATACAAACTTTTTTCATATTTGATTGCAGAGTTGCTATATCAACATATATTCAAATGCTTTGTATTTGTGATGCTTATCATTCACTTTTCATATGAAATCGTACGGCTGCCACGATATTTAACACCGTATCCTATCATGACACTTTCTTGTGTGTATCATATATATATATATTTAGAATTGTTTGTTTTTTCCTGCATCGCAAAACACTTAAGGGTACTGAAGTTATCAATCTTCTACTTTTTTTCCGTAAACTTTAAGAGTTTACTTATTGTTTTGGTAAAGATGCATGTCCACTTTACAAAAGTACAAAAAATCATACAAAAAGTATGTTTTGACAGTATTTACTATTAAAGTCTATGGTAAAGCTCTGTAAAATCCTGTACTCAGTCATCATGAAGTTGGCCTTTTGAGCAGATATCTGTATCGTGATACGTATGTATTGTAAACATCATACCATGATACGTATCATTACGTAGGTGTATCGTAGGTGTATTGTTGCAGCCCTAAGTGTGATGTCTGTGGTGTGCAGATTATTGTACCACTGCCAAATACTGTTACCGTGCTTTGGAATCTGTTTTTTTTGGGGGGGTTTTGTTTTTGTTTCTGCCATGACTATAGCTTAGTGATAAAAAAAGTTCTAAAAAATAGACCATAAAACCTTGCATCTTTAAATAGAGTCATCAGTTTGGATATACCTAATATCAAAGTTTTGCTTTCTACACACAGCGTTTCAAGACCGCCTGGTGCCTTTGTCAAGCTATGACTGAGTGAGTGAAGGGACCAGACGGTCTTCAAACGTTGCGACACGTTTAATACATACATTTTGTAGAAAGTAAAACTTTGGTATATCATAAAACCTAATTATCTTGCAGAACTTTCATGTAAAACATTGTAAAGATGAAATGAAGAACAAACAATCAACAACATTGTTCTGATTATAAAAATAATACAACAGGGCCAGACGAGGACCCCCTGATCATTATACTGTATACACGTATATAGTGTTTTGTCTGCAGTGGGACAGGAATCCTTGCCCTGTCACCCCTATGTAACTTTAGTAGACTCTACCATGCATTGATATTGATGAGTCCATTATGGTCTACAGTGGTGAAAGGGTTCTAAATTAAATCTGTATGGAATACACAATACAATGAACAAATTGAATCGATTAAAGTTGTATATGACTTGTTTTGTAAGCTGATAATATTTGTTTCTGAGATTAGGACTGAGTTTGTTTAAGACTTCTTGAGGTTAATGATATCTTGTGCTATAGTGAAATATTTGATGCTTAAGAATATTATTGATCTATAATTATCGACAAATTGTTTCCGTCCATAGTTTTACAAGTAAAGTCACTGTGATGATGTATATGAAATATAGTTAATGATGGGACTTAATTGTTTTTGCACTGTGTATACAAATAATGCTTTATATTTAGGATACAGGGTCTTTGACATATGAATATCTATGATAGAGTATTTAACAAATGCGAGGAAAATATATAAGAAAATTGACAATCTCATGTGACTGAAAAAATCATGTTCAAATAAAAAGGGGATCATTTGGTTCACTGAGATTTCATAATTTCTATTTATAGATATCAGTTTGAGACAAAGAACTCTTACAAAGCTCAAAATTGTTTTGTATTTTTTATAGATTTTAGATTTTCACTGTTTATTTTGTACACTAGTTGACTAGAAAATGTTGTGTCATACACACTTTGTACCAAGCTAATACTAACGCCTGCTTTTGTCAATGAATTTAATTTATTGTTATTCACAAAACCATATACTTGTACACACAATTTATAGATAACTAGAATAAAACCTTCATATTATGCCCCTCATTTCCTTGCCACTTCCCTTACTGCCAACATGTTGTAAGGGCCCCTTTTCTCTTTTCTTTTTTCTGTTTCCCTCAATTTATCACCAAACCCCTTTATAATGCCAATATTTCCCTGGACAAATGGTGGCAGTATAATGAGGTTTTACTGTATTTTTTTGCTGATGACTAGGTAAGCGAATGGTTGTTGAGATTTTTGTGTTCTAATAACCTTGTGAAGCTAGTTTCATTCAGTACTCTACTTTCTATTAAGGTAGTATGCTATTTCACTGTGAAGTGCTTTTCCTTATCAGAAGAGTTCCATAATAGAAATATATTGCAAGATACCGATTTTTTCTTTTTTTTCTCAAAATATATCGTAGTGTCAACATAAAAGGACATCAATTGGGACTTAAAGGCTAAACTGGGACCAAGGAGTCACCAAAACAAAATACAGTTAATTTCTGTAAAGTGATTTTTTTTTTTCTTAGGTACATGTACAATGAATTGTGAAATGTGAAATTATTATTATAACTCATCTATATAACAGAGTTTCCGATTGGATTATTTTGATCACATGACAGGGAATCAAACCACGTTTTTTTTCTCTCATTGTCAAGTGTCCCGTTCATATTTCCCATATTCGGAGCCTTGAGGAAAATGAACAAAATGCACCACACCCGAGTTAAGAATGACTGACGCCGACGACAACCATTGTGGGGAAGCCAGATCATCTCCACTGTTGAGTTAATGTTCTATCAGTATAATAAGATATTTATTGCCCTTGTGTTCGGAAAACAAAAGATCATGTTTCCCTACAGCATGGGCAATAAATGGTAATACTGCTCTAAACATTTGTCATTGATGTAAAGCTAGGAATATGTTCCATTGATGTTGATCAAGAAATCTCATCTAATTCGGGTTTGCTGGGTACAAATTGTGTTTTATACAAGTTTATTTCCTGGCAAAGCTTACAACTTTTAAGGCTGAAGTACACTTTTAACAGTTCTTGTTGGTGTCAATGCATTGTGGTTTTGAGCTCTGATTTTGTTCTTGTGTAATGACGATATGGTATATTTTTTGTACTAATTTACTTCATTGGTAATTTTCTTGTGGTGACTGAAATGTTCATTTTAACAGAGAAATTTGTTCTTGACCAGGTTAAAGGCATTCTATCCTTATTGTGTATTGACATTTGTGTACATTTGATAAATACATCTGGTGTTTTCTTGCATCTGTGTTTTCAGCATTATTGATTGAGTAGTATAAAGAGTACAGAGTAAACCATATTTTATATGATTGTACAAGTCATATTTATGTGAATAAACTATTTATGACAACATGCATTGTTTCAAATATTTTTAACTCACCTGGTCCAAAGGACTGAGATGAGCTTACGCTCTACCATGGCATCTGTCGTCCGCCCATTAACAGTGTCTTCAAACAACTTCTTTTGATGTTGGGATTTCAAAATTGTATATAAGGTGGGCCTTACATGCCAGGGGGCTGAGGGGCAGGAGCAAAACTGGGTAACGTGGCCATATTACTTTAAACAACTTCTTTTTTAGAAATATGTGATAGATGTCAACCATATTTGGTCATCCATATCCTCAGGTGGTAGGATTGAAAAATGTACGAATGGCAGGATTGAGCCCAAGAGCCTGAGAGGATAGGTCAAAGAGATCATTTGGCCATATTGCTTTAAGTGCCTCTCATCAGGACTTATAAGATACTCACCTTATTTGGCTAGAAAGTGCTGGGCTGAGGGGTAAAACATATACATGCTACATCTGGACACTTCGTTTCTGGGTCAAAACTTTGAAATGGTTGATACATTTGCTTTGTTTAAAGAGACAACACAATCATGATATTTGGAATGACCATGAGGTTTGACAACACCCCTTGGGACTCGGTCACTGGTTCACAACTTGAAAACCATTAATATCCCCTTCCTTTAACCATATATAATTGCTCTCAGCAGATGAAAGTTCAATTACAGATATGCTACCAAAATTGGCCTCTGGGTAATTACCTACCCATAGGGACCTGGTCCCTTGGTCATGATATGCAAATGGGTCAAATCCCCTCTGATTAAATTAACAGTGTATAGAAATGCCGTATATAAAAAGACAACTACACATAGCTACCAGGGTCTGACCCAAAACTTGACAACTTAATTGGTCATAACTTTGAAACGGGTGAGATCACCATCCCATAACCACATTATGTAATTGCTGGCCATTGAAAGTCTAGCACAGATATGCTTCAAGGATTAGCTTTGGGACTTGCCAGACCCCTGTTTACTTAGTCTTTGGGAAGTGGTTGAGGCCCTCACACCAGTTATGTATGAGTATAAATATAAATATTTACCATTGCTGGGCATGATAATACAATGGTGCTACCGGAATTGGCCTAGAAGCCCCCTGGAGACTTTATCCCTGGGTCATACCACTGGCCCTATACCTTGGATCTTATTTGCAACACTATACTTTTAATGATAATATTTTGCATAATTGCTGAAATATCCAGATAAGCAACACCGGTGCTTATTGCCTCTTGTTTCGTTTGCCTATTATAAAACATTTTCTTATTGGCTTCTTCTTCATGTAGATTGCAAAATATCATATAGCCATGCAAGACATTTATCAACCGAGTATTGCAATAATTGAACCCATTAACCCAAAACAAAAGTTTTCTGCATTGGTTCTTCCAAATGCCAGACCCAGACTACCAACAAGTAGTTTTTAGCTCACCTGCCCGAAGGGCATGTGAGCTTATGCCGTGGTGCGGCGTCTGTCGACAACTTTTCCATTAAAACAACTTCTTCTCAATAACCAAAAGGCCCAGGGTACTCATTTTGGGCAAGTAGCATGCTGGGATGAAGGGCTACCAAATTTGTTCAAATGAATGACCTTGACCCACTTTCAAGGTCACAGGGGTCAAATGTGTTAAAATCTTCAAACGACTTCTCAATAACCAAAAGTCCACTAGTACTGATAATGGGTCTGTAGCATGCTGAGATGAAGGGCTACCAAGTTTGTTCAAATGAATGACCTTGACCCACTTTCAAGGTCACAGGGGTAAAATGTCTTAAAATCTTCAAACAACTTCTTCTCAATAACCAAAAGGCCGAAGGCACTGATATTGAGCCTGTTGCATCCTGGGATAAATGGCTACCAAGTTTGTTCAAATATATGACCTTCATCCATTTTCAAGGTCACAGGGGTCAAATATGTTAAAATCTTTAAACAACTTCTGAATAACCAAGATGCATAGGATGATGATATTTGGCCTGTAACATGCCTGGATGAAGGGCTACCGAGTTTGTTCAAATAAATTACCTTGCTTTATATTCAAGGTCACAGGGGTCAAATATATTTAAAACCTTTAAACAACTTCTTCTGAATAACCAAGAGGCCTATGTTGCTTAAATTTTCCCAGTAACATGCTGGGATGAAGGACTACCAAGTTGTTCAAATAAATGACCCTGACTTATATTCAAGGTCACAGGGTAAAATATGTTTAAAACCTTTAAACAACTTCTTCTGAATAACCCAGAGACATAGGGTAATGATATTTTGCAAGTAACATTCTGGGATATAGGGCTACCAAGTTTGTACAAATAAATGACCTTGACAAATATTCAAGGTCACAATGGTCAAATATGTTTAAAACCTTTAAACAACTCCTTTTGTAAAACCGAAATGCCCAGGGTGATGATATTTGGCCAGTAGCATGCTGAAATGAAGGGCGCTACCAAGTTTGTTCAAATGAATTACCTTGACAAATATTCAAGGTCACAATGGTGAAATATGTTTAAAACCTTTAAACAACTTCTTCTGTAAAACCGAAAGGTCCAGGGTGATGATATTTGGTCAGAAGGATGTTGAGATGAGGGGCTACCAAGTTTGTTCAAATGAATGACCTTTGCCAATATTCAAGGTCACAGTGGTCAATTGTCTTGAAAACCTTTAAATGACCTCTTCTGTATAACCAAAAGATCCAGGGGGATTATATTTGGCCAGAAGGATGTTGGCATGAAGGGCTACCAAGTTTGTTCAAATGAATGACCTTTGTCCATATTCAATGTCACAGGGGTCAATTGTCTTGAAAACCTTTAAACGACTTCTTCTGTATAACCAAAAGGTCCAGGGTGATGATATTTGGCCAGAAGGATGTTGGCATGAAGGGCTACGAAGTTTGTTGAAATGAATGACCTTTGTCCATATTCAAGGTCATAGGGGTCAAATATCTTGAAATCTTTAAACGACTTCTTCTGAATAACTAAAGCATACAGGGTGATTGCTTGTTGATGTGAATGACCTTAATACGCTTTCATGGTGACATCTGATCCATAGTGCATAACTCATTAAAAGTCATCTTCTCAATAAAAGGTATAAGGTGGTGATATTTGGAAAGTTGTATTCTGGGGGGAAGGGCTATGAAGTTTGTTCAACTTAATGTCCATGTTTGACTTTCAAGGTCACAGAGGTCAAATGTGTTTTAATTGTTTAACAGGTTCTTTTGAATGAATTGAAGTCAAAACACTGATATTTTGCCTGTAGCTTTATTTTATTCCACGTTTAAGGTTACAATTGTGAGATTAATACCAGGTGAGCGATGCAGGCCCATTGGGCCTCTTGTTCCTTTTATCCTCCGGTGGAGATCGGCACTCCTTTTCCAACTTTCGGGGTACCCTGTCTCCTTCAACTCTGCCTTTCTCATTTGACAGTGGGCGTCGTTATGGACTTGGGGCCCCTTTGTGACCGTCTGCGTCTCCATCACTGTCAAGTCAAGTCACAGTCAAGACTCACTGCTACCTCCATTATTGGATCGTTTTTGTATCAGCTGTTTGTAAGTGTAACTAAACAGTAGTACATGCGCCAGGTTGCCAGGTTGGCCATAAATCTTAGCGCCCAAGGTTTGATTGACTCGGTTGTACATTGTATGTTGATTGCAAAAGTAAGCTAGTTATGCAGCCATCCTTCTTACAGATTTCACCCAGGATACTTTCCGCCATCTTGATGTACAAACAAAAATAATAAGTGCTTCGATCCGTTCTTCGTATTATTTCTGGTGATTATTTCCTCGAATGTAGCCAACTGTCTTGCTGGCTGTAATACATGTACCTGTTTTCCTCTATGTCTTGAGATTCTTTTCTCATGTCATCCATCGATCAGTAACATTGATTGGCTGTTCGTCCTCGTATACTGTTTCCGCAAAGTTTCGTGCTTTCGGATGTTCGTAATTGCATGTTCTATCCTGATTCCCAGTCTTGTGCTCTTCTTCCTGACCCCCACCCTGTCTTCATTTTTCAAACCTCTTTAACTATATATGTTGTGAATAAAATTGGACAAACGACTTCCGCCTTTCCGTATAGTTCAGTGATCCCTGCCTGGTTTCCATGTGATTCAATTTCTACATTGTACAAACTGTCTCCATACGTGAAGGATGTCGACACTGTTTGTGTCTCCTTTGGCCACCATCACCGCTGCCAATCCGTCCAACCCCTATCGCTTCCAGCTCCGTCTCTCCGACAGGTTGCTCTTTTCCCCAATTTCCGTGCGACCCCTGGGGTATCTCGGTATGTACTTGTTGATTGAGAGTTAATGTGAAATACACGTTATATTCTAAGAATCTGTAATCATACTGTTTCATGATAAAGCATAAGACGCCTTCCCTTCCGGAACACCTGGTATATTTCTCCTTGTACTTTTCCAGTGGTCTCTATGAAAATATCAGGGTCCGCTCTCGCAACACAATATTTTCTCTGCACTCCAAGAATATATCATGACAAAATATAAGGCTCGCGGTAAGCTATTTGATTGGTTTCATGTATAAGCACCTAACTTATCGCTAGGCTAATACATTGTCCTTTAAAAATACAGAAGAGCTGCACTCAACTTCAAAGCCTGACTATTTTACTGTTACGCTGCCACACCGCTGTACTCTTGATCAACGACAGCAGACTATTTATCTTGTGTCATCTGTAAGGTGTCGCGTAAAGAGCATTCAATGTGTTTCCTAATATGTTCCAGAGACCAGAGGTGCAGAGAAAAGTGTGCATAGGGTGCAGAATCAAAGGATTCGAAGATTAAGTTCGGCTGGTTTAATCATCACTGCCCACAAACATTTACTGCAGACATCAGGGACTTTGTAGCCACATCAAACATTAACTGTGATTTGGCCGCCGACGCCAATTGGCTCTCCTCGACCCCGTATGCTCACTTTGTCTGTGACGTGATACCGTATGTTCACTTTGTCTGTGACGTGATACCGTATGCTCACTTTGTCTGTGACGTGATACCGTATGCTCACTTTAACTCTGAAGATCTTCTAGCGTAACATATAAGCTGCAAATCATCAAAAACATCACACCACCCGATAGATCACAACTAAATATCTTACTATAATAAGTTTATACGTTTCTGACAACGTTGATCTACATCTCATGGCGTATGTATTTTATCAACTACATACTCAATCTCAGTTTAGTATTTTGTATGTAAAGTTTTCAGCCTTTTACTGCTCTACTACTTTAGTTCTACACATATTTATTCCATCAAATGGATGTTTCTAAATCTTTTCGCAAACAAAATCTCGCTTGAACATACTACATTTAGTTGTACTCAAAATCAAAACGACATCAACTGAATCGTTTTCCTGTTGTTTATTCAAGGAATTTGATTGTCATGTCTTCCCTTCGAATGAAGGTAGACATATTGTATAAGTACTGGTACACGTTCAAGTTCTGGTTCTTCTAATATAATCTTGTTCGCCTCTTTATTGAAGTCATACGAGAGATCATGGGATTTCCAATAATTCACAACTTCAATGGCTGGATTCACTTGTAGCGGCAGAACATTGGGGGACTGCGTATATTGACGATGAAGCTTTTTTTTTTTGCTTTGGATACTGCAGTCTAAGTTTTCCCGCACACCAACACCCTTTGTGTCCTTGTGAGTTCAGTTGAGATAAATTGAGGCCGTAACTTTTAAACCGTTAATGATATCTTGATGAAACTTAAAGTATACCATGCACTTAGGTTATTGTGACCTTGACCCCAATGTCAAATACAAATGTATGTGCAATTTTTTTCAGGAACATCTTGTCCGTGCTGTAAATTTTAAATCATTAAAAGTATCTTGATGAAACTTGATGTAAAACTTCACCATCTGTAGATACATGATGTGCATTATGCAGTGTCATTAAGTCACCGTGGCCTTTACCTCAAGGTCAGAGTTAAAAAAGTGTGATTGTTTAAACATTTAAAGGTTTTCGCCAAGGTGATGCCAATGACCCATTACTGTGTCTAATTTTGCTAAAACTTAATATGGAAGTATATGATAGCATTGTAAACTCTATCCAAGCATTATTTGCGACAATGGGGTCAGTTTTGAGGACTTCTGTAATATGGTTTCCATTACAATCAGAACTGGTTCATATAAGCAGTTTACAATTTAGCAGTAGGCAGTTCCTCTAATAATAAGGTCATATAGGTGCAAAATTAAAGATATCGTGATCAAACGTGCAGTATATCTGCATCACCCACAGACGATGTAGTCACTGTTAGGTCACTGTGACCTTAACCTCGAGGTCAAATAAGTGCAAAGTTTTCAGGAATATCTTGTTTCGGTCGTAACTTGTAAACCGTTAGAGGAGAGACATACGTTTTCAAATCTCTAGTTTATTAGTGTTTTACCATTCTATATTAACTTGATTAGATCAGCGTTAACTGTTGTTAAAATCCAATATACGTTTGTGTTCGATATATAAATGAAATATCTTCAATGCGAATCATCAGTTTGGAAATATGTGATATCAAAGTTTTACTTTATACAAAAACATCGTACGTATTAAACGTGTCGCAACGTTTCAAGGCCGACTGGTCCCTTTGTCAGGCTATGACCGAGTGAGCGATTTTTACTGTTTACCTAGACTACAACGACGTGAAATAAAACAAAAGAACTAAATCGAATAAAGATACACTAATTGCAATTTGGTGTAATCTTAAATTTGACGGATGCCAGTTACCGCTTGTGGTGGGTGCAGGAAGTGTTGAAAATTGATTTACTTATATTGAATAGAGATTTACTGGTTTGTTGTACAGACTGTTTAATTTTGACCAACGTTAAAGGTGTTTTTTATGTGACAGATTTTAATTAAACGTAGAATTATGCTCGCCCTCATTCTTCGCGCTATAGAGGGAATTTCCCTTCAGCTCAGTATCTGGTAGAGCGCCCGACTTGGAAGTCGGTGATCGCGGGTTCGATCCCCGGTAGAAGCACAATACTCTCTTTCCCTTTACAAATACCCCCCCCCCCCCTATTGTAAAAGCTCTATTTGTGGTAGAAGCACTGTCTTTGTCTGGATCCCCCCTGTATTTCCAACCTTAGACTGTCCATGTAACCATATTAAGAAACCGATCATAGAGTAAAGCTGATGATTATACAGATAAATTTGCATAACAGTATGACAATTGTGAAAATTGCTTACATAAACATACTTTACATTTCACACCAATGTTGTTAGGTCGTTTTCCCACATATGTCACGTTTTAGGTAAACTGATATATTTGTCCAGAGACGTATAATACATGTATTATACGTCTCTGATTTGTCTAGACTTTTCATCTTTTTCAGATTTGACGCAATGACTACCGACAAATAACCAAAAATGACACTGTAAAGTAAGGGGCGCAACTCTTACAAATATTATCGACGATACAAGTATTTTACTTTCGGCAAATATAATAACTGTTGTTCTTTTGCAGAATAAGATTAGTTTAGTCTAACAAACTTATTGAAAGAAGTTCAAGCCAAATAGTCTTAATTCCCAATTAAGTTATGATCGCTTGCCATGTGTAAAGTTGTCAATAGTAGTCGAAGACTAATGGTATGACGTCGACAACGGTGAGTTGTGAATTATGTGACAGTAACAACGTAGAAGGAAGTGAAATTCCGAATCTCCCGCTCAAAGTACTATTTCCGGTTGAGATAAACATATTACTTAACACGAGGATTCGGACAATATGCTGCATTTGTTTTTGGTCTAACACACTCAGAAATTTGCACAGAATGTGCTAGAACGATCGAAGAATAGTATTTTATCTTTATACTTTTAGTTAATTACTGTCAAATGGTAATCGTTTATAAACGTTTACTATATATATTCAGTTAACGAACCATGTAGAAAAATGCATCAGCTTTAGTTGATTACACACACACTTCCATTCACTGGCGAGATGGCGGCCAACTTGGCCTCTCTTAACCATGAACAATTGCAAGGATTCGGCCAAGAGTTTCTGAAAACGTATTATACTTTTCTCGATGGACCTGCAGCGAGTAGAGCAGGAATTTCCCAACTTTATAACGTAAGACTAATTATTGTCATGTCGTTGAACCGTTGACGTCCAGACTTCACGCATGGTTTTCATCAATTCATCATCATGGTTTTCGATTACTCAATTACATGAAATGCCTAAAACATATACCCTTATACTGATATGCGTTGTAGCACTGAATATAAAAAGACAGAGCCTGCAATGAGCGAAGCTATAGCTTAGATGTGGCATTTATTGGTTGATATTTTTTACATCTATGTAGGCAGGTCCAGTACTAGTACTCTACTCTGGAGTCTGGTGATTGAGCTATATAGGGGTACATTCGCGTAATCCGGTTGAATCTGTAAAGAAAACGACAGGTACAGATCTGGACCGAGGCTGACCTCAGGAAAATTTGGTACATGTAGATTGAGGTGTCCAGACGTACCTGACCGAAACTAAAATGCTGACTGTTGCCAATTTGCGTTATTTCTTTCTTAAACAATGTCAAGAACCTAACCTGACCTAGGCTACATTCGCGTATCCCGGTTGAAACGGTTCATGTGGCGCAGAAATTTTCCATGATAAACGAAGACACTTGGACCGATCTATAAGCAGAGCTAAAAATGCACAGTTTTGGAGAATAGAAAACAATGTATCAAGAATATAATGCCCTTCTCTCACGCGTCCACTGAATTACATAATGTATCTTAAAAACTACATGTGGCTTGACATTGTTTAAGATAGAAATAGCGTAAAAATGGCAATAGTCAGCATTTTAGTTTCGGCCAGGTACGTCTGCATGGACACCTCAATCTACAGTATGCCGAATTTTCCTGAGGTCAGCCTCGGTTCAAATCTGTACCTGTCGTTTCTTTACAGGTTCAACTGTTTCAACCAGATACGCGAATGTACCCCAATAACAGCTCTATTGACCTATCTGAAAAAGGTCTTGTGAGCTATTTTCATGTTGTTGTTTTTTGATGGAAAACGAAACAAAATCGCTTTTAAAAGAAGATTTTATCATTAGGTTGATAACAAAAGAATATTCTTTTAAGAAAATGATGTAAAAAGATCGGAAATTTTACATTTATGAAAAATGAAAATAAACATCTATATGTATACTTTTTGTAGTCAACATTACCATAAACCTTATTGTTTATGCGACTTTGCTTTGATTTAATGAAAATTTAAATCTGAGAAATTATAGCTCAATACAGCTAATATGTCTTTATAGCTATATAGCTCAATCGGCAGAGTGTACTGGACCTGGTAGGTAGTACTAAATTATTTATTGTAGGTGTTGTCCGAAGCACAGGCATGTATATCTGGTACACATATGTAAAAATATGAAGGGCTATTATACTGACAAGGTACAATACTCTGAAAACTTGGGTTGGAGGAGCAGGAGAGGATGGAGGTTAGCATTGATTTAGTACAAGTTTCCTGACATTGTACTATATATATGTAAATTCTCTACACCATAACTAGTTTGCAAGAATAAAAAAAACTTGTAATTGAAAGGGCCAGAGGAAACTCGGGCTAGCATTGCTACAGAAATGTGCCACAAATCTGTCAAATTATGTCATTTTCTTCTTTGGATTCTATTTTAATTAAACTTTGTGAAAAAAAACCCATTCTGACTTTGTTTTGACCTCCAATTACAGGTATACTAGCACTCTATCAACACCCCTATAATATAAACTAGGTTGCTAATCCCATTCCACTAGTAAATCATGCAATTATGTAATAACTGTTCTTCAGATCACCCGAGTCGCAGTTTTCAAACTGGCAAGGCTGACTTTCTGAGATCTGAATCAAGTCAGCAGTTTTCTCCTACTGTTGTGATCTTACGTCTGATTTGCACGAGACGTCAAATTGTTAATTGATTTTCTAAATTTGACGAGCCAATCATCGTTTATATGGTATGAAAAGTGTTAGAAAATGGCTGACCTAATTCAGGTTAGACTAGATCAGAGGTATTTCAGCAGATTAGTTGGCGATGGCAACACATCATATATAGATCTCGCCAGAAATGAGATCCGATATGACTCCATTCTCCAGAGCTCGGTCCAGGTTAGTTGTCTCTCTGGAACACTCCATCTTGTCCATGCACCCCGAGATCCCATCTCTTCAGCCTTTGCTGTCCTGGTCTCTTCCTCTGCACACCTGACTTCTTCATGCACCATATCATGTTTCTCTTTCCCTTTTTGGCTGTTTTCCATTCCAAGACATTGCCTGAATCTGGTTGTTCCTAGGCCTTGATCTCCCATACAGGTGTTTCCAATGATCATGTCCCATATGGAAAGCATGTCTTCTGCCTGCTTAACTGCTAGGTTTGCACTCCACTTCCGACCTGTCCTTGTCTTCGATGTGTGGCTATATACAGGTCGATGGAAGTAACGCTCGGTGGTACTCCTAACCATCGTCGGAGGAAGCTGTTGGCTCTCCTCTCCATAGCTTGTACCATCATCGTTGGAATCTCATACAGCATCATCATCCACATGAGGCTTGGTAGTACTCCATGCTGATACATCCAGGTTTTGTACTTTCCTGGATGGCCTGTCTTCTCTTCACACTTCAGTCATGTCTCCAGTCCTTTCTTGATCACAATGCATCTCAACTTCTTTGGTTTTAATTCCGTCCTGTCCCAATTCAGTTTCTTCTAGTGCAGATAATACCCATCTTGCTTGGATATGTGATTTATGGAAATAAAATAAAATAATTTGCCTACCAGTCTTCCCTATTTTTCAGGCATGTTTCCTGAAACACACATTATATTGTTTGGCCTCAGTATAACAATAATATAGTTGAACTTCAAGTAGTGTTATTTTATACTGTTTTTTTTTGTGTTTTAGGATAACTGCCAGATGTCATATGAAGGCAACAAGTTTGTAGGGAAACCTGCTATTGAAGCAAAATTTGCTGTAAGTTTATTAACTCTGAAGACTCATTTGAACTCTTCCNGGGGGGGATGAGTTAATGTGTATAGAAATCTCATTGTGTGTCACTTGGTAAATAACAAATCTCATTGTGTGTCACTTGGTAAATATCAAATCTCATTGTGTGTCACTTGGCAAATATCAAATCTCATTGCGTGTCACTGTAAATAACATATCTTATTTTATCACTGTCAGTAAAAGATCTCATTGTTTGTAACTTTAAAAAGGAAATCTCAATGTGTGTCACTTAGTTAAAAACAGATCCCATTGTGTCACTCAGTATTAAAATAAGAGATCTCATTGTGTGTCACTCGGTAAATAACATTTCTCATTGTGTGTCACTCGGTATATAGCCGTTTTCATTGTGTCACTCGGTAAATAAGAGATCTCATTGTTTGTCACTTGGTAAATAACATTTCTCATTGTGTGTCACTTTGTAAATATTGAATCTCGTGTGTCACTTGGTATATAGCCGTTCTCATTGTGTGTCATTTGGTAAATAACAGATCTTATTTTATGTCACTTGGTAAATAACAAATCTCATTGTGTATCACTTGGTATATATATACAGATCTCAATGTGTGTTACTGTTAATAACAGATATTATTTTATGTTATTGTAAGAAAAGATCTCATTGTATGTTACTTTAAATAGGAAATCTCATTGTGTGTCACTTACCGGTAGTTAAAAACAGATCCCATTGTGTCACTCTGTAAATCTAGAGATCCCATTGTATCACTCGGTAAATAAGAGATCTCATTGTGTCATTCGGTAAATAAGAGATCTCATTTTGTCACTCAGTATAGAAGAGATCTCATTGTGTCACTCGATAAATAAGAGATCTCATTGTTTTTCACTGGTAAATAAGAGATCTCATTGTTTGTCACTGGTAAATTACATATCTTATTTTATGTCATTGTAAGTAAAAGATCTCAATGAATGTAACTTTTAATAGGTAATCTCAATGTGTGTTACTTTAAATAGGTAATCTCAATGTGTGTTACTTTAAATAGGTAATCTCAATGTGTGTTACTTTAAATAGGTAATCTCAATGTGTGTCATCTCATTGTGTGTCACTTGGTTAATACCAGATAATTAGAGTTTTTTAGGGTAAGTTGTGAGATCAATTTTCTCCTCTGTCCATGTGAATAATATAGAGAGGCCATCACTATTTACAGTAGCCATTGTAAAGTTATCTAAAATGTAAACACTGTATAGTATTGTAACAAATATCTTTTCTGTTACAGTCTTTTTCCAATATGAACATGATGCATGACCTTTCATCCTTTGATGTACAGGCTGTGAGTGACACAGCTGTTTTGATCACAGTGCTGGGACAGTTTAAGGTAACATCTTAACCTTTTCTTTACTTGATCACTTTTCCCAAATCTTGTGTCATAAATACACTTTATCATAAACACACTTTCCGCAGGTAGGCCTTAAGTCTCCCTGCCAATTTGTATATGTCTGCTCATGACATAATGTATGATGGTACAGCATTTTCTGGCTCACAGGCTCGGCTTCAACAATATCGTCCAGAGCTTAGTTTCCTGGCTACTTTTCAGCCATGTTCATTAAATTTAATATCTCCCATACTGGAAGCAGGTCTTGTGTCCTACCATACTTATACAGAGTAATGGCCCATTGTCCATTTCCTATGCCAAAATTTGTCTTTAGCAAAACTTCATTGCCATTTCTCCTACATTCACTTAAACTTGCTATACTAATTAGTACCTCAGGAAGACTGAGGGTCACATAATGAGAGTAGGTCATACATCCAACTCTATACATGAGTTAAGACTTTCTGTTCATTTTCAGCCCACCATCATCAAATATTGGGTAGTTAAATTGCTTTTCGTTCATGGTTTGGTGTCCATCACTCAGTCCGTCCGTTTGTAAACATTTTTTTCCCTGCTGTTTCTTAGAAACACTTTTGAGACGGATCATAAAAGCAAAAAAGCAACCTTGTAACCATTTTGGATTTTGCATACATGTGAAGTTTGTTACCACTATTTCTTATAAAACTACAGAAGAGATCTCGAAGAAAACTTGCATGCATGATCCCCATTGTCCATAGTTGAGCATGTCCAGTTCAAGAAACAAATGGCTGCATTTTGTATCAGAACATTTTTAGCATACCTGGTCCAAAGGAACACTGTGTACTTATGTTCTACCATGTCCATCCATCTGCTGATCCCTCCAACAGAATTCTACCAAATTTTTGACGGCAAGCACCCTTGGTTGTAGGGATTCAAAACTACAAATGGATGACATAAAAAAACACTCCAGCATGCAAATATGCATGTTGGATGAGGGAACACATGGTTTTGTTCATAAAAGCAAATTTTTAATGTTGAATATCCTGAAAAGCGTATCAAATTTAACTTTAATATATTATTGTCATTGCTTGCGTAGTTGTTTTTGCAATTATTTAAAATGTTATCTCTCAAACTTATTTCAGACGGATGACCAGGAACATGCACTTGGATTTACGCAGACGTTCTTTGTGATGGGAGATCCGGAAGGAAGATTTACAATATTAAATGACATTTTTCGGTTGACTTTATTCAACAATGCATAAATACACTTCTCAGATCAACTACATAATCTCAGTTTGTGAAATTGTTTGGATATTTCTGTGAACAACTCTTCAAGCAGGACATCAGTTTTGAAAATTTGGATGCGGAACAACAGGAAGAATTTTGAGCTTTCTAAAACACCTCAGCTATATATAGGGACATCTATAGGAAGAGTGTTTGAATGACAAAGATTTTTGAGACTAGCATGTAAATTGGTTCGACATGGTCATGATAGGTGTGATATAAAACCAGTTTAGTTCACAAACTTGCCACTAGATGTCATTCTTGTCCTGTGACAGAATGATATACCCACAATGGTAGCATCAAAAATGTGAATTCATATACTTTAATTAAGACAATGTTGGAATAAAATGAATACCAACCAAATGATCAGTCGATGCTAGTACTACGAGTCACTCCACCAGAAAGTAATCGGAATTAAATTGAATAATGGCAAGTTTTTGATTTTGGAATGAGAGATTTTGAAGTAAAACAAAAATGTGAAATGTTCGAAATTGATTTTATTGTTTTGATACATCAGTATATGACGCTTTTCAAGCTTTTCTATGAATGTTCTAACTACCGATGTGGGTTAATCATAAATCAGTCACATTTTATTGTAGGCTTGGTTTTCGTGGAAGCTATTTTTTTCTACGTGTTAACTTCCAACCCAGTGTTAGTAAAAAAAAATGTGTTTGTACCTTTGAATTGCATCTTTTCACACCTCCTCCATCTGTATAACGTTTTTAACAGTCCCGCACAGTTCATTTTGATGACCTTTAGATAGTAGTTGAGCTGAATAACCAGATACTAGAAATGCAACTGACTAGATGCGTGTGTATGTTACATTTTGCGTAATGTATTAATAGAACTCTTGCTTCATTTCCATACAGTTACATGTATAAACTATTGAAGAATGTAGGAAAGAAAAAAAGTGTTTTCAATGATAATCCAACTTGTGCAGTGCATGGTTTAAGCTGCTGGGATGAAGATTTCGACAGAAACATCAACGTCCGTTTTATTTACTATGTTACAGCTTTTGAATTTGCAATTTTTTGTGTTTATGTGGAAAAATAAGAATGTGTACCATGTTGAAATTTCGGTGCAGTGTCTTTTTAATAGAAATATTTTTTCTTGTTGAAGGGACAGGTTCACCATACAGTAAAACCGTTATGAAACATTGATACAAACCTGACTGAATGTATAATCAAATGTTGCATAAGTATTTTTGTTCGTAGTATGGTGTCCAGATTTTATCAAGATTTTGCATTTAACTTTACTTTGAAATTTAGTAAGTGAATTGTAAAATCAAGCACCGCCTTATGAATAGGGTAAAGAGTACCAACAGGCTATACAATATCATTACCCCTGTCACTATTTATCAAAAGTACAATTTCATAAAAATCGGGCTGTGAAACGTGAACATTTCCAGAATTATAATATAGTTATATGGAATTAGGTTTTAAAAAAAAATGCAAAAAACTTGAAAGGAAACAGAAAAAAATTGAACTTTGACATTGTAAATTAACCCTACAATTTACCAATGTTGTTGTCCAGGAAATTTAGTCAAAATTACTCTTAGAGGAACTCTTCCTCTGGATTAACTCATTCACCCCTGAAGACACATTTGAACTCTTCCAATTCAAAGGTTAAATACATATAGTTAAATTTCAGGGGTTATGAGTTAAGTGATGCAGTGGTACCCTTAACCTTATAACACCAAGCTTATCTTGTGTGTTATGAATATATGACCTTCTTATTTCCAGTCGGCTTGGAGCCAAATATTTTAGTTTAATGGATCCAGATTTATTGTTTGTTGCAAGTATGGTGAAGTATGTCCAAATAAAATCATACTGCACAAGATTAAACACCAATGGTTTCTTTTTGTTGTCTGTTTAAACATTAACCGTTTGAATATCAATCATTGCACATTTTCGCCTATTTTCCACTCGGGTATAATATTTATCATGACATCAAATATTAATGCACAACAATATACCATATACTCTTAACTTGTGGCAAATATGATTTGAACATTGTGCAAGATTTCCCAGTAACAAGTATGTAGATCAAGATATGGCTTAAATCAGATTGAATCAGGATTTTCTGTACCTTCTAGATCTACAAAGGGGGCATTGAAGAAATCCAAATCGATCTGCTGCCCCCATTGCAGCATTTGGGATCTTATTTTCTCTTTACTTTCTAACAACTGTTATCTTTCTTAGCACCTTCCTCATAAATACCTCACTTTTGTCCTTACTGTGGAATTTTTGCCCAAATGATGTAATCTATGGGTTCTGTCCTCAATAAGTGCCGGGATATACCAAAATCCTTAAAAAATTGTAGATGTCATTCTCTGCTTAATGTTTGGCATTTTGGGTAATGGCAACAACTGTTTTACTTGTTGACTTGTCAGTATAATGTGACCAGGGTGCCTTTGGCTTGGTATTTCATTGAAGTAGCACTATTGCAAGGAGGCAAATACAACACATGGAAGCACGTCCTTAAATTACCTTAGCTATGAATAGGATGTTAAACAAAATCAAACCAAAAAACATGTGGTACTGAATATCCCCTTTTTAGGTCACCTGAGCTTTAGCTATACGCTATATATGTCTTCGTGCGTTGTCGTGCTTCGTGCGTCCGTTAACATTTTACATTTTCAACTTAAGCTGAAATACTGGCAAAGGGATTTCATTAATATTTCATGGGAAGGTTACTGACATCTCCCTGACAAAGTGTTGTTATTTTTCGGGTCGATCAGAAATCCAATATGGCCGCCATTTTGAAAAGCTATTTCAAAATTGCAAGTCAAGTTCTGCTGGGCCAATTGAACTGAAACTTGGTAGGAATGATCGATTCATGGTCCTGACAAAGTGTCATTATTTTTTTGGGTTAATCAGAAATACAATTTGGCTGCCACAGCCGCTATTTTGAAAATGACTAGCAGGTATTTCAAACTTAAAAACAAGGTCAAATAGGCCAATTTAACTGAAACTGATACTGTAGGACTTGGGTGACCGTTAAGGCCCATGGACCTCTTGTCTATTTTAGTAACAGTGACTTGACTGGTAGCCATCTTGAACTTTAGAATCCGGGAAATATGGCATTATTCATGTAGGGTATCACAACACTGGAGGGTCAGATAGGGGAATACAATGCATTTGTGACACTATATTGCCCTTCCCCAATTCTATTACCCTACTGCACATCTACATATCGCTGTGTATCTACATGTGAAATTGTTCAAACTTCAGACTTAATTCTGAGACATTTTCCAGATACAATAGTGTTGACAGGCACCCTGATCACCAGCAGGCACTATCATGTAATATCTCAGAACACAACAACATGGTCATTGTATGAACACCATTTATTCCCAACTACGTGTATAACATCACAATGGTGTCGCTATACATGGGAGATAATATACAGCTACTTATGTTATACATACTGGGTTATACAACGTTTAGAGTACAGGATTATAACATCACAATGGTGTCGCTTTACATAGGAGATAATATACAGCTACTTATGTTATACATACTGGGTTATACAACGTTAAGAGTACAGGATTATAAAGTTTACAAACAGTATACAAACACCCTATACAAATTACAATACATGCATCTGGGAAATAAAAATATGCTGCAAGTACCCGCAAACCAGAATCAGTGAAATACCAAAAGGTAAATGTAATTAATTTGGTATTTATTAACAACACGAGTACATAAAGAAATGTTGATGATTTTGACATTGAATTCAAATTTTGAGCCAATTTCCAAATTTTAAAGTAAAGCGCATATAAAATTTTAATAGCATCAGTTTTGTCACTTTATATGAAATTCCTGTTTTGCCATATAATACGTGCTTTTTTCATGTACAGTAGATACATAATTACATCATAGATTCTATCATAGAAACTAGATATCTGCTCAAATATCAAGCATGCATTAAAACTTGTAAAGTCGACATAAGTGATTGATTAAATAATAATAATAATTCGAGGTTCTTATATACCGCTTTATCACAACCTTATTTGTAGGTAGTCTCAAAGCGGATCACAAATTATAATCCGTGGTTATAGGGTCTTTGCAACCAGCCAAAACTTTTCTCAACTCCCTGGGGAGCATACAGCCGGAGCTGTCATTTCGGCGCCAACAGCTAGCATTCAACAATTCTAGCACTGCCCAACCATGTATTCATTTACAGCTGAGTAGACTGGAAAAAGCGGATTAAAGCATCTTGCTCAAAGATACAACACATTGCCTTGCAGTGGCGCAAACCCGCAATCCTCGGTCATGAGCCCGGCGTCCTACCACTGGACTACCGTGCCTCCTTAAATACTTAATTTTCCCTCACACATTATTGTAAACAAAAGTAATTTTGCTTGATTTGATCTCTTTAAATATTCGACAAGATTTGACATGAAAAGTGTGTAAATAGAGGTTACACAATGAGTGGTTGTTGAATATGGTATTTATTTCACTCGAGTAAGTTAACTTTTGAAAATTAACCAACTTGAGTGAAATACCATACTCAACAACCACGAGTCGTGTGATCTGCTTCTACCACAATCTCGGTCGTAACAGCTGGAGTGTGACCTGATTTGAATAACATACACACATGTTTGTTGGCAAGGCTGGCGTAGTGATATGAACCATATGTAAAAAGTCACTCATTAATATTCAAAAATGACTTTTTTTTTTTACAAATTTAATAATTGTTAAAATAAATGTTTTGGCAACAACTTCATGCAAAAATTATAGTAGATGAACGTCTTTAAGTATTGAGAGTATGTAGTATCGGTTTATATAAATTAACCTCAGATTATATGCGCGTATGCAAATCATACGATGTCTGCTTCCCGCCAAGTGATAAAGTCGAACTAATCGCCGTCAATGTCCAAAACCATAGGCTTGGAACGTTTCTTCATAATTGTTCTATGGCTGACGTTTATAGTGAAAGTTCAGCCATAGTCAGACCCTCCAAATAGCGATAACGGGACGTTGGGAGAACGAAATATTTTCCGACACTGACAGATCTTGTTTTGGTTTCTCGACATGGACACCAAACGGTGCGATGTCGAAATGATACCGAGTGCCTTTAGCAATTTTGCCTGAAACTAGCGATCAAATCTTTAAGTATCATCTTCTTTTAATATTGCCTTAATAACCCCCCTTTCCCCCCATCGCATAACCTCACCAACATTTGCTGGATGTTGACAGCAGACGACATAAACAAAGCAGCACGTGGCAAAAAGCGTGTGGAAAAAGTCGTCTTATCGACCAATCAAAACTCTGGAAGGTCATATACCACAATGATCTGAGAGTGGTAAAAATATATATATATATGCTGTAGCAAGGAAAAATGTGGATTTTAATAGGTCTCAACTGTACACAGTTTAACACATCAGGGTACATTATTCAGTCTTTTTTGTTACAATACAAACAACAACAAATTAACACGTTGTATGTACAATGCATAGTTACAGCATCAATTTGATTAAAATTCATTTCAACTTGATATTTTAATCAATACACATGCAAATATTTAGGAATAGTAAATCTATCTCAATTATGGAATAACATTTATGATACCTGTGGAGATAAAACATGAGAGGGGCCAATATCTTGATTACATTTCTAAGAATTGCACAGGTTTATCTAGTGTAAACAGGGAAACCTTACAATGGTCTTGCAGAATATACATGAATATTTAAATGAGAATAAATTCATAACACAAGTGACTGTGTCAGCAATCTTAGATCTGAAAACATTGACCAGCTTAATCCTTGCTTTATAACAAACAACTGTCCTCCTCCACTTGGGCCACGTGTTGTTTGGATTATTATCGTTAACAATCCATTAAGATTCTGTACAAAATATAAGATTCTCTTGCCTCTATTTCATAGGTAGAAGGTACCTCACTAACAACCTTCTGACTAGACCAACCAGGGTCTAAACATATATATTAACTTCAGCTATCATACAAACATTTTAGCATCAGTCCAATCATAGCTGTCAACCCTCCCTCACTAGGGTGGAGACTCTCTCGTTTTGACAAAAAACTATCTGACTAGACCAACCAGGGTCTAAACAAACATATAAACTTCAGTTATCTTACAAACATTTTAGCATCAGTCCAATCATAGCTGTCAAACCTCTCCTTCATTAGGAGGGAGACTCTCTCATTTTGACAAAAAATTACCAATCTCCCTTGAAACTCCCTCATTCAAGTCCAAACTCACACAAACTCAAAATCTACATCCTGTGGTCAAATGATCTCCTACTTACAGCAGGGTGTTTGCAATGATCATAACAGGTGTGTCAGAATCAAATGAATGCTATTTGGAGTTATTTTGATACGAAAAAAGAGAGAAAGATAAATTGAGCAAAGCAGTTTCAGTTACATTTCACACACGTTCTCCCTCTATGGAGGCTGACACCTATGTCCAATTTTTATTAATCTTGCAGAGCCTGATCAAGACAATGGTACCCAAACAAATACCCATTGCAAAATCAGCTTTACATATTTCCATCCTTCCTGTACACAGAATATAATAGGAATATTTACAAAGCAGATGTATGTACAATTAATCTGTAAATAATAAATGCTCACAAGTTTGGCAAATGAAATGCAATTATCAAAGACAACAGAAAATTTGTCCTGGAATATCTAGCATTCACGAGGATTCCTCATCAAAATGAAGGTTTCTTTATCCTTCTTCTTCACTATACAACATGAATCAGTTAAAACTGCTCATTGCTACAAAATTTGAAAACGATTCAATTCAGAATATCCACATACAATACCTTACGTTTCAGATCTACATGACATTTTATTTCAGTACTGGGGGGAATTATAACCAAATGAGCCTTGGTTCTGCATCTGACCTCCAGCGGGAACTGGGCCTGGTATTGGTCCACTCATCTGGCCTTGGGAAGGCATAGATCCACTCATGGGACTCGGGCCTTGCATCTGGTTACCTATAGACCCCTGTGATGGCATTGGACCTTGGTTCGGCATCTGTCCTCCCATTGGTCCACTACTTGGTATAGCATTTTGTCCAGAAATTTGACTTGGCATTTGATTGGGCGTTTGACCTTGACCCTGTGGCATCTGACCTCCCATGTTGCTCTGACCATGCATCTGTCCACTACCCATGTGATTTTGACCTTGCATGGGGGCAGGCATTGGTCCCGGGCTCTGACCCTGACTCACCATTGGTCCACCAGCCATCTGGTTGCCAGGTATGTTGCCTTGGTTACGCAAGTAAGGGTTGAATCTTTGCTGAGGATTTTGGCCCTGGAAACCTGTATACTGAGACTGTGGCATATTGGAGTTCTGGTTGTAGGCTTGACCTTGCGGCATGTTTTGTTGCCCTTGACTTCCCTGGCTGTAGGAGGTTTGGTTGGGGTACTGTTGTGGCCCGGAAAAATTCTGCTGTGGTCCGTACTGACCTGGAAAGGTGAAAGCAATGATAAACCTACAACAGCCTGGTCCATAGTGTTCGTGTTTAAAGATCAAGGATGGAAAAATTGAATATCAACCAAAATTGAATGATAATATTAAATCTAATGTGAACAAAAGTAAACATACTACAATATACTTTTGAAATATGTCAAAAAACTCTTTTAAGAACTGTTTTATGTTATGCCCTTGCAACCATTGTTAAACATTGTGCCAGTATATTGAAGGGCAGTAACTCTGCAACAATGAAATAATTATTTTACGTAGCGGGATGTATATCAATGCCCTTTATGTCAAAAAGTGTTATTATTCATCATTAAATATTTACATTTCTACTGAACTTGGACTCAATATACCTACTTAACATTTTAAAGGTTATTTTTCAATGAACTTTTCAGTTGGCGTATGAATACATCAGCATATTATCAACCTGATTACTCTGTTATTCCGCGGAACGTGGGAAGTAGTTCCATTCTTAGATTGTTTTAATTTTATTTATTTTTTGTCAGAAGTATTCAATTGAATTCAAAATATAATTAACATCTTAATTTGCTTACATCTTACCAGGACGACATCTCAAAGTGAGTTATGACGTCATAAGTTTTGATACCTTCCGTGGTGTTAGACTTGCACAAGACCGATATTTTAGAAATTATCCGAACAAGTATCAATATCACTCTGAATGTAAATATAAGGATAGAATCCCATTTTGTTGAGGTTTATGGGGTTCGCAGTTCATTTTGAATTTGTCTCAAGACCCATTGAGGTTTATACCCCATAAACCTCAACAAAACAGAATTCAATCCTTAAGTAAATTTTAAGACAGAAAAACTCAAAGCTTGTTCCCATCACACTTGACCTTAAATTGAGCCTGCTGAAGCTACCCTCATTGAATCCTACTGAATTTTAGGTCCTCTATTTACAATGTATAAATTTCATGATAGGGAATGAAGATTTCCGACTAAATGCAAAATAATTTATCTTATAAGGCCAAACAAAATTGATTACTTGGTTCTCAGGCCCGTGCGCTTTTCATTTTAGGGCACTGCATTGCCTATTTTATCTTGAAAGTAATAAAAAAATAATCGTTTAATAATAATAAATCCCGAAAATTGGTCCGCATGTCGTTTTTACTTGTTAGTCACCCAAGTCACTAAAAAAGGATTGAGATACAGGCAAGCTTTAAAATGATTATGACTTATTAGTCTTGTGTACAAATGGCGCTCATTTCGGTACAAATAAGGAATGGGTGGGTGTTTCGTGATTCTCGTCTGGATGACGGGTCTCTACATAACTATAAAAAGACAAGGTAATGCCCACAATGAACTTTTTACAAACTACACAATAAAAAAAAATTGCTCACGTCTCGTTTTTTCCATGTAAAATGAAAAGAAAAAAATTACCGCCCTGCTGCATCTCTTTTGAAAAAAATTGACCTGAGAACCAAGTAATTAATTTTATTTGGCCTAAAATACACATGATATCAATTTTCAGTATGCAAGTACTGGATGTTTGACAAGGTACCTGTACCAGGACGCCTGTAGGCTCCCTGTATCTGGCGAGGATTCATCATGGAGCCACTCTGTCCAGTTGACTGGCCTGACAACATTGGCTGCTGTTGTCCCATCATTGGCTGATTTTGTGACATCATCGGTTGTTGCGGTGACATCATAGGTTGTTGCTGTGACATCATCGACTGTTGCTGTGGCATCATGGGTTGATTCTGGGACATCATTGGCTGTTGTTGGTTGGGGTAGCCGCTCTGTTGCGGCATGTTGTAGTTTTGAGTGTTTGACATACCAGATGGCATTTGATCTGTTAATAAAATAATTAATGATGCAACTTCAGGTTTGATGTTTTAAGGGAAGGACCGGATATTCACAGGCAAAATATCTGAACATCTCAATGCTTGTCAAATAAATTTAAAGGATCTAAACCTCCTGAAATCTTGTACATTTGAAGACGTATCCTGAAATTTTAGGTTGGAATTTTTTCACCCAGATATATATTTTGTACATTATTCATAACTGATTCCTTCTGTGACATCAGTGAATTTGAGTTGTCTTCGAATAGAGGAAAATTGTACTACTTCTTTAATTACAAACCAAGGAAATTTATTCAAGTTAGGATATTTTGCCTGTGTACTTGAATGCCTTGAATGTGAGCCAGGAGTTCTGCATACATTTCATCCATCGTAGGTACAAACTTAACTGTACAACTACCAAATTATTTATGAAAAAACATAACGATGTCATTTTTTTCTCTTCAAGTATATTATAACGTAATGAAATCTGTATCAAAGTAGTTTCTGTCAGCAGCCACTAATTCATCTACGGTCAGTATTAAAGAAAACTACTTTTAACTCCTGCATAATTTTTAAAGCAAGTCTAAGTACAATGTATTCTACAACAGAACAAACTCATCAACCTTAATGTTTTAGTTTTTCAACAGGCTTTGAAAGAAAAATATTGGTCCAATTTATATCAAACTGCTTTTCATCAACAGAAATTTGCTAGATATTATACACGTACATGATTTCAATATTTTTGAGTCTGATGCAACTTATATAAATATATTTCAAAGTGAGACCAGTTAAATATCAGTACAAAAAGAAATCAAAGTCTATCAGGGTTCATACAGAAATTATGCACAAGTCCTCAGGCATGTTAAAGCACAAAAAACTGACGCTTTCCCTTTCAAATTCAATCAATATTTTATCTCTGCTTTACAAAGTATATTCTTTCAAAGGACGAATATATTTTCATAGATTTTCAAATGTAGAGCTACCTAACAATCTTACTGCACATGTAGATTTGGATTGGCCAGAGACTAAAAATCATCAAGCAATTTTCATGTACTTGATTGGACAATATCAAACTTGAACTTTTTTGGGGGAATCTGTATGAACCCTGTACTTGTTTGCTGTAAACAGTGTTTTCTGCAGCATCACACCGTGGAAATGGCTCTTATTAAAACTATACAGATATGATGAACCAAACAAAATAATGTTATATATATTTGTAAAATAAAGGGAGGTAACTCTTATATTTTAAAACATTATCTTATGGATCGGGATACCGGTTTCCTCTAAATTGACAATCTAATATAGTTGGTAATTGCAAAACTGAAAACAAGACTGCCCTTCCTCTCTGGAGAAAACACTGGCCAACACAGCTGTTGACATGTATCATGTGTGCTGCATGCTAAAAGTTCACCTATTTTGGGTAAGCCATGTTTGGTGACGTCACTGTTGGTGTCTTTTTGAGTCGAGTGACGATGTGGCTTGTCGAGTGGGACAATTTTCTTGTCTGAATGTCCTAGAGGAAATACATCACCACATCATTAACATTTGAAGGTAGGGACATGGCATACATGGTCCAATGACAGGGGTGTTCATTTTCATATTTAGCATACTTGCCCGCAGGCATATTTTAAGAAATAATATTAGCCCAACCTATATTTCTATTGTGAATTCTCATTATTTTCACTAGCCCTTAAATAAATTCACCAAATACCGGGTGTCGGGCTAGTGGAATTGTACACCCCTGAATGGATACGAAAACAGACTCAAGAACATTTCATACTCTGGATATAAACTATACAAACTGTCTCCTAATTTAAAATGCATGTACATTATCTATCTGACATAAGTTAATTCATTCACCCCTGAAATTTCATAATGGATTATTCCAACCTTTGAATTGGAAGACTTCAAATATGTCTTCAAGGGTGAATAAGTAAATGGTCGATACAACTGTTGAAATGTATGTTTTAACTGCATGTTTTTTTTTAATTCAAGTGACATTGTGGTTTGTCAAATGGGATTTTTTTGTGTTCACATGTTGTAAAGGAAATGTCATACCAGATCATTAAGTGGGGGACATATGTTTTATCAGTGATACATAAATCTGGTGATAAGCCCCTGCTTGGGATTTAAAACATCCCGTTGTTCTCCAGATCTGACAAATGAGGGACACAGATTTATATTTCACAGGCCCCTCCTGTATGTGTAAAGAGTACCTGTTATTTCCTTTCTTCAGACAACCCCGTCACCCAGACCCCAAATCACCATGTAGTGTTAGTGTAATCTAATGTTAGATCTACGTTTAGTGAATGCCTTACTCAAACAACAAAAACTCTGGGCTTGAAAATTGTATATTTATCGCAGCGAAGGCTACACTCATTAAATGAGAACTCCATTTTGCCCAAGTTTAAAAGTGAAAGCCATTTCACTAATACATGGATAAACCCAAAATAAACTTTATTGATCTACAGTGATGGTTAGTAAACTAGATTTTCCACACTCGTATCCCACAACTTGAGAGAGTAGGAAGAAAACTTCACACATGCAAAGAAAAAATTCTGACCTTTCCCACAGATTTTGTTAGTCCTAAGTAATTATGTTTTCAGTCCAAAGTAACATAATAGACTTTCAAAATATCTTCAGTCCCACTCAAAATTTCAGGACTCAAAATCGGACTTTGGAGTTTTCTGTTTCATGAAATATGAAGAGCTAACACAGTGTTAGCTCTGTCGACACATTATACTATGTGAAAAAGAAATTTGGTTAGTTTGAATAAGAATTAATGCAAATAATTGTCTAGTTTCCCAGTTTAGCTATTATCAATATTTTATAAACATTAACAATTACAAGCCTATGAAACAATGTAACAGTACATATCATTTAAAAGTGACAAAAAATTCTGAAACACAGAGGCCTTTATAGTTTCTTACCAAAAGATGATGAGATAAATTTAAATGATTTTGTCGATATATTATCTCTACACAATTTTTTGTTCTGAATTAGTAAAGCTGATGAATATGTAACTTTTTTATCCTATTTCCATCACACAAAGGGTACTTACTGTATGAACCTGACTGCGACACCATGGGTGGTTGGCCACCCATCTGCTGTGCGGGGCGAGGGTAGCCCCCAGACCCAGGCATTGGCTGTTGTTGTGGGCCTGACCCACCTGATCCCTGGGGATAGATTCCCTGGCTTGTTGGGGGAGTCATGTTACCACCACTGCTGGGTGTCATCATCTGGTTACCACTACCTGGCCCTCCTGTAGTGATAAACATGTGGTCACTCAATACTATCAACCAATTGTGTATTGTAAAATGTAATCAGGTTTTCTTTGATAAATATGTCAGAGATTTAACATCATATACTGTTACTCAGACTGCTAGGGAGTATTAAATACTTAAAGCTGATAGTGCAAGTTAAAAAGCTTTCAATTGAGATTTAAAAAAAAAAGGATATTTTTTTCTGGTTTTGAGATCTTCCCCATCTCTTCCGACATTTTAGTTTGCCCTTACTTGGTAACGAGTATGGGTCTCGCTGGGTATAAAAAGTGCATTATCTGTCAAATCGGTTATCATTTGTTCAATATGTGGCTGTGCGCAAGGTGACACTACTATACGATATATATAAAACACTTTCACATTTTTTTTACCAACATTTTGTATCAGATCAGTTGAATAAAATTGAAATGGAACACATGAAAGATAGCATTTATCTAAGAAAAGTGGAAATAGCAGTAAAATAAGACCAATTAAAATATCTAATGCACAATCCCTGCCCCCCCCCAAATAAATAACCGGCCCTGAAAGAAGCAAACATGCAACGAACGTTGATGCCTACCTTTTAGATATCCAACTAGTTATAACCATCTGTGTGAAAACAACACTAATTCCAATCATTTCCATGAGAACAGCTCAATTATCAAATTTCACATTGACAAAGACTACGAGTTCATAATAAAGTTTTGTGTGTTGGTGCAGTTCAATGCACATGAAAGACAGATGATATATATGGAATTTGTAGAAGTGTTTTCAGTTATATAGCTTTTATTTTGGATACACGATTTTCGAGAATGTGCAATAAATAGCAACCAGCTTGGCAGTGTTTCAAAGTCTTCAGGTGAGTGCGTTTGATTTGTTTATATCGGTTGCCGATCAGGATGCGCAAGACGGTCAGTTGTAGAATGATAACCAGTTTGACAGTTTTACCCAGCGAGACCCATAATCCAAGCAAGGACAAACTAAAATGTTGGCACATCCTTAGAAACGATAGTCAGAAGAGATGGGGAAGATCTCAAAACTAGGATTTTTGATTTTTTTTTTAAAATCTCAATTTAAAGCTTTTTAACTTGCACTGTCAGCTTTAAGGTGGTAACTCCATTTATGCACATCAATTTAATAGAACGTGAAATTTACATGTGCTCAACTGGAGTTATTATTTCATAACCTGACAAAACATATTTTTTCTTCTTATATTTAGTCCTTTTCAGTGGACATAAGTTTCATTTCCAAAAATTATCAACATGTGATCAGTTCAGTTAGAAGAACAGCCTGAAACTGTTGATGATGTCACACAATTGTGTCTCATTAGCAGAATTATTTTGCATAGATCTGCCCACATGTGTTGCTGCTGATGTCATGAAAACTTTGTCACATTCTATGGTCAGATTATGAGCTGAAAACTCCAATTTTAGGGGAACACTTGTTCATGTCAATATTGAGTGAATGCCAGTGTTGACTTTTATTATCATCATGTAAGTTTTTGATACGTAAACTTTTACACATACCTGCAGAATTCATCTGGTTTTGCATTGGTCCTGGGGGTCGCATTTGGTTCATCTGTGAGTTTTGGGGCTGCTGTGGCTGCTGAGGCTGATTCACTGCTGGGTTTAACTGAGCAGGAGGCTAAACACACAGAATCATCTTACAACAGCTGTTTACATCCCAGATAATTTGACTGAGCAGGAGGCTAAAGACACAGAATAATCTTACAACAGCTGTTTACTTCCAAGATAGTTTGACTGAGCAGGAGGCTATAGACACAGAATATTCTTACAACAGCTGTTTACATCCCAGATAGTTTGACTGAGCAGGAGGCTAAAGACACAGAATAATCTTACAACAGCTGTTTACATCCCAGATAATTTGACTGAGCAGGAGGCTAAAGACACAGAATCATCTTACAACAGCTGTTTACTTCCAAAATAGTTTGACTGAGCAGAAGGCTATAGACACAGAATAATCTTACAACAGCTGTTTACATCCCAGATAGTTTGACTGAGCAGGAGGCTAAAGACACAGAATCATCTTACAACAGCTGTTTACTTCCAAGATAGTTTTACTAGCAGGGGACTTATGACATAATTTTATTTTTAAACAACTAGTTACATCCCCGATCATTTGACTGAGCTGCAGACAGTCATCCTACCAATTAATTCAAATATTTCCTTTGGGTAAAAAAAATCTATCTTCGTTTTTTCCAGTACCGATTTTGAAGTTATGCACCATTCTTACAAAAATTGGGTGATCAACTTACTGGTAGAAGCGCTTGTATATTCTGGCTCGAGTCGGCAAGGGTGGCTAGGTACACTAAATTTCTGTGCAACATCTGCTGAAATCTGAAGCAAAAAGCTCGTAAATCATTAAATGTCATAAAGCAAAATCCTTATAACAGATTACAAGCACTGAGAATGAAGTTAATATTCAAAGTAGTTACCTAAAATGTGTACATAAAGCAGTACTGAATTGACATTTACTAGGTACTATTACCGAGGTTTTACACTTACTGTAAACATTCCGAAGATTTCCCTTTATTCTGGTAATCAACGATGGCTTGTATCAGCTGATTGTTTTCATCCAGCATCTGAAACATTAAACGAGGATACCCTTCACATATATCTGATGGTTGTGTACAGTAGGTTTTCTATTCTAACATTCCTTCTTCATTCTTATAATTGTAAATGTTGAGAACAAATTTGCAACTTAAATATATCAGTCTTCAGTACAGTTCTATAAATGTTATTTGTTTTAGTACCAAACTTCAGCTGCAGGTTTTTGGTTCTAAACTAAGTAACAAGTATTTTTTTATCTTGATAATATTTTATCATAAGTAAGACTCTGACAGATGCAAGATCAATGAACCTGGGTATGGTTTCCTAAGGTGAAACCACTCCTTCAATCGCAGCACAGCAACTGTTAGTCCAAATTATTCTGACGTTTTATCGACTTTTTTTTCATATCGGTCTTTCATTGATTAACGTCAGAACTCCGGCCCTGTATAATATGCGGGAAATAAGCTTTTATGTTCATCTTGTGCATAAAGAATAGATCTTTCGATCCATGTGCGACATGTGTGTGAAAGTGACGATTTGTTTCTAAAATATCAGTTTGAAGAGCGACCCGGGCGCTGGGCGCTTATTTCCCGCATATTATAGAGAGCCGGAGTTCTGACATTTATCGACGACAGACCGGTATTTAAAATAAGTCATAAAAAACGTCAGAATAATTCAGACTAAGCAACTGTCAACCATTTTTTGAGCTGCAACCCATCTACCATGAATAAAAGATTTTTCTTTTTTAAATAATGATGTAAAAAATTGTATTTAACATTTATGAAAAATGAAAATAAACATCTAAATGTATGCTTTTTGTAGTCATGTATATCTGACTGTACTAATAATTTAAAATGAAGCAATATTGCCCATTTGAAGTTGAAAATCAATATTATTTTTTTTGACTTCATTTTTGTTTAAGATGTCCAAATAATCCAATACCTCTGTACCACAGATGCTGTTTGATTCGACTTCGAGTTGTCGTTTATTTTACCAAAGCTTCAAATGTGCACGGACCGAAATGTCACTTTAGGTGATTAACACACCAAAATCGCATGCTCCATTGATTTCGGCCAGTTTTAATAGACTGTACGCGGCGCTGTAGCCTGACATTGTCATACTCTGCGATGTATGGCTGAAGGTTGTTTTCCACGGAACAGTTGATCTAAACTATTTTTATGGCAAATCGCCGGGAGCGATCGCGTCCCATATCATGATATTGCGTCTGAATGTCTCTAAACGTGTCTTCCAAAAGAACGACGGATAACGAAAACAAACCTTCTGAATGGTCGCCTGGTTGGGTGCAGGCCCCTTCTTCTGTTGAGGCTGCACAAATGTCAATGACATGATGCCGGTAATGTGTGTCAAACACAATCCGACAGAAAATTGAGCGCGTCCCAGCCCAGCCACACAAAGAAATTGGACCGGCAGCGAATAATAGGGAATTTCTAATTGTGAAATCGATCGTATTTACTATTCGGAAATGATACGCATATGAATTGTGAAATGAATAAAACTGCTGTTTAAATAGCTAATTAGAAAAGTGTGAATATAAGATTTAAATAACGACCAATCGTATATTAGAGAATAGTGTGTTTGTGACTTTTTGAGCGAGACGCTACAGAGTTTAAAATAAAATACGAATAATTTCGTCCGGGTTCCGGCTCTTATTTTATGATTTCCAATGATTATTATTAATACTATCACTAAAGAAATGGAATAAAAGACTATGATATAATATTTGTAATTATTTGAATATAATATATATCATATAATAACCAAAAAATATTTTTTCATAAAAAATATATTTTTTGTTTTTGCTGGTAATGTTAGGCTGAAGAAATGTTTGTGATAAACAGTTTTAGTCGTTAAGCGTTTTAAGGACACAGAAACGCCGGTTTCTGCGGTCCACAAAGTTTCCAATATGAGTTCCCGATACGACCGTGCTATCACCGTTTTCTCGCCTGATGGTCATTTATTCCAAGTAGAATATGCACAGGAAGCCGTGAAGAAAGGGTCTACTGCCGTACGTTTTAATTACCAAGTCAACTACAAAACACGTATCTCTGGTTGATTTTACAGTGATAAAAAACGAGTCTCAAACATGACCACCCTCAAGTTTCTGTTCATAATTGCATTGTCATCTGAACTTTAGTGATATATTGTGTCTCTTTACACCAAGTCTCGCCAAATGTTTACTGCTACTCGTTTGATGTGTTTAATCCGACTTTGTCTTACATGTTTTCTTATCTGTTTTTTTCTCTCGATGTATAAAAATATGGACTTTTAATACGATTTAATACGATAAATAATGGACGAAGGCTGTAAGCCTCTGTGTCCATATCAGTTGATATTACAATATTTACAGTATGATATACTTCTGTTGTACAATTAGCATGTCTTTCATCGTATATATAAAATTAAGTTAATTATTTGTTGGTATATTCCCAGTGATTGTCCAGTAAATTTTCAAAATGTTTGACATCCTCTGCATCTATAACATCTTGCGGCAAGTTGTTCCAGGTATCTACTACGCGGAAGCCGAAAAAGTTTTTTCTAATGTCTAGGTTACAGTGCTTTTTGAATATTTTTTGTGAGTGTCCCCTTGTCCTGCTGGTGGTATCCATTTGGAACATATTTGTTGTGACTCGTTCATCATAAATCTTCTTCACTATTTTGAGTACGTTGATCAGGTCCCCTCTATTCCTTCAGTGTTCTAAGGTTGGCAGGTTTAGTCTCTGCAAGCGTTCATGGTACGATAAATTTTTAAAACCTGGTAAGAGTTCAACAATACCCAAAAAATCAAATAAAAAGTTTTATTTAACGTAGGTATGATTAAAAACATTACAACATTAGCTTTAATGAGCTATTAAAACCGATACATAAAAGACATGCACAGGTACACAATAAATATTTAACCTAAAAGATAAGCACTATCTAATAGAGAGGTGACATAAGTAGAGGTAAGCTTTAGCTGAAAACATCTTCTATTGCAAAATTTCAGAATCGTCTGATTTTGAGTGATGGTAATTTTGAACGGCTATTAAATTTTCATATGGATATTTGTGTTCATCGTAAATAAATAAATAATGAGCTTATGTCATGGTGCGGCGTCCGTCTGTCCGTCCTCGTCCGTCAACTTTTCCTTTAAACAACTACTTCTGAAGAACGGACTGGCCTACAGTCATGATATTTGGCTGAAAGCTTTGTTGGTAGGAGCCCTACAAAGTTTTAGAACGAAAATGACCTTGACCTACTTTCAAGATCACAGGGGTCAAATATGTCAAATGCTTCCAACAACTTCTTTTGAAGAACTGAAAGGTATAGAATCTTTATATTTGGCTGGTGGCTTCCTGGAATAGAGCCCAACAAAGTGTGAGAACAAAAGTTAGTTTGACCTACTTTCAAGGTCACAGGGGTCATATATGTCAAAAGCTTCAAATGACTTCTTCTGAAAAAAAGGATATCCCAAACTGGATGAATAAGTTATTGATACCTCATGATCTATGTTAGTTTTGAGTCCAAAATGAAGTGACATAAACTGCTGAAACAAAGTTCTATTATCTATCTACTTTTTCCCTTTCTTTTGTTATCAGTTTCAAACCAAAGAACATGAGTCCAAAACTCAAAATAGTGTTTTTTTCCAGAAATCACTTCATAATTAAAAAAATATCTACTCCATGTGATCCACCATTTCCATATATTTTTTACAGGTTGGTGTCAAGGGAAAAGGTATAGTTGTTTTAGGAGTAGAAAAGAAAGCAGTTGCAAAGCTTCAGGAGGACAGGACTGTGCGTAAAATTGCTCTCATCGATGACCACGTCGCCCTTGCATTCGCTGGTTTGTATAATAGTGTTATTGATGATTTATTAGCTCACCGGGTCCAAAGGACCAAGGTGAGCTTATGCCATACCGTGGCGTCTGTCGTGTCGTCTGTCTGACGTCCGTCCATCGTCCGTACGTCAACAATTTCTTTAAATGACTTCTTATTCTTAACCACTGATTGGAATTTAACTAAATTTGACTGGAAGCATCCCTAGGTGATGGTGATTCCAAAGTGTACAAATGGTGGGGCTGAACCCCCAGGGGGCGGAGTAGCGGGTCAAAAGGGGCAATTTGGCTATATTGCTTTAAGCTTTAAGCGACTTCTTCTCTGGAACTAAAAGATGGACATGAGCTATATTTGACTGGAAGCATCCCTAGGTTGTTGAGATTCAAAAAATGTACAAATGATTGGGCGGGGCCAAATGAGGGCAATATGGCTATATTGCTATAAACGACTTCTTCTGTAGAACTATGCCATGGATATCGATCATATTTAGTTGGAAGCATTCATGGGAGGCAGGGATTCAAAATTGTACAAATGGTGGGGCTGACCCCCCAGGCTAAGGGGTGTGGCCAAAAATAGTTTATTATTTGGAAATGGTTGAGATCCCGACCGTATAACCATATATACAATTGATGAGTATAAAGAGAAGAATGCACATTTGCTTCGAGGGTGGCTCTAGGGTCTGGCCCCACCCTTGGAGACAAAGTCCCTGGGTCATAACTTTGAAACAGTTGAGATCCCCACCCCAGAACTATATATACAAATGCTGGGCATAAAGAGACGAATGCAGTCATGATATTAGAATAGACCCTTGGGTCTGACCGAACCCCTAGGGAACTAGTTTAAATTTCTTAGTCACAGCTTGGAAACAGTTGAGATCCCCACCCTATAACCATATATATATACAATTGCTGAGTATAAAGAGATGAATGCACATATGCTTCCAGGATGGCTTTGGGGTCTGCCCCACGCTTGGAGACTTAACCCCTGGGTCATTACTTTGAAATGGTTAAGATCCCCACCCCAAAACTATATATACAATTCAGGGTCTGGCCCATCCTTGCAGACTTAACCCCTGGGTCATAACTTTGAAACGGTTGAAATCCCCACCCCAAAACTTCAAATACAAATGCTGGGCAAAAAGAGACGAATGCAGTTTTGATATTAGAATTGATCCTGGGGTCTGGCCACAACACTAGGGACCTAGTTTCTGAGTCACAGCTTGGAAACTGTTGAGATCCCCACCCCATAACCATACATAAAATTGCTGGGCATGAAATATCTGATACAGATATGCTACAAGGATTGGCCTTTGGGTCTGACATATTCCCTTGAATCTCATTTGAAGAATATTTTGCCATGATTGCTTAGATATCCAAGTGATCGATACTGGCCCTCTGGGCCTCTTGTTTTATTTGTCATTTTGAGAAATGTCTTGTATGTAATGATGTATATACACAAGGTGACATAGACTCGTGGCCATATGCATATTCACAATATACCAGATAACATGAAGGCACCATGAAGAACTTAAATTAACTATAAGATATCAAGTATTATACTATGACTTGTATACAATTTGCCTACAAATATTGAAGGAAAGAATAGACTTCCTGTATCAGGGCTAAAAACGATAAGGGTAGTCTGATAGACTGAGAAAAGTGAAATCTCCAACTAGACAAATGATTCTAAAACCTACTGGCTCAATTGACTAGTCTAAATTTGATATTGATTATCTTGTTGAATAATAGTGAGTAAGTTGAATTTGCACATGGACAAGTGAAAATTGGAAACTACTATTCAAATTGACAAGTGATATTCCAAATTAATTTCTAGTCAATGCATAATTGTCACAGGTGTATAATGAAGAGGCCACCTACGTTATTGTGTGTTTACTTCTGTGTCTTCCTCTGATGATAAGAATATCTGTTTATAATCAGGAAGTTGCTTAGCGGACATTGAAAAATCAAGAATTGATCAGCTGTTCCCTTTGCAACACTTTAAACCTCTATACTTTGTTTCTCTCACACCATCCTCGATATCCAGGGGTTACGCTCACTTTCGCTCTCGGCACCCCTGGAATTTGTCATTACAAAATCGAAGGCTCGGGTTTCAGATTTCAACACTTTTTAAGGGAGTTAAGGCCTTTAATGCGAAATTACTTGTACAGGGAAACCCTAAGGTCAAGGTTACTAAATGATGTATAAACTACCAGCATCTGCGGGGGGTATAAGTTATTCTCTGGATGACAGTTCTAGTTTAATGCATGTAATGGCTTCAAAACATGTTTGAGCAATCGTCTAGGAATGCCTTCCGCATGCTTGTCTTTCTTTTATGTTTAGTGACTATGTACTTTTGATGGCAGAACTAGTGAATTAGTCACTCGACTCATTTCGTCTATCGATAGGTAGCGTATACACACAGCACCAGATAGGTTACACCCTGTCTGTAACCTATCAGAGGTTTTTTACCTTGACAGGATGACCTTTGACCTTGGCCTCTTGTTCAGTTGTAACAAAGTGGTGTCCATGTTGTCGATTTGGGATAGTGGTTTAGCATGGCAACTTCAATCAAAGAACAGTAGACTAGAATCATCAAAAAGCTAGTATTACTCCTAAATTATGTCTGCTATAGAACAATTTCTGTTTTGTATTTTAAAGGTTTGACTGCAGATGCCAGGATTCTGATCAACAGAGCACGTACAGAATGTCAAAGTCACAAACTTATAGTGGAGGATCCAGTCACACTGGAGTATATCACGCGACACATAGCTCAACTAAAACAGGTAAACATGCTGGTACTGTGCATTGTTCGACTAAAATAGGTGAAAGTCATACGAAACATAACTAATATTGATAAACCTCACACTAAACATTTCTCAGCTAGGATAGTTAAGCATCACACATCACATTATCAACTGATACAGGTACAACAGAAAAGAATGACCAACACATTAAGTTTTCAATAGTTGTAAAGTTGTCTAAAATACATATACTTCGAAACTGGTTAGGTAACACAATGAGATCAGGTAGCAACACACTTGTTTTGGGCAAATCACTCTTAGTATTTTAGAAGCATCATCTGATGGTGGGCTATTCAAATCACCCTGCGTTCTTGGTTCGTTGTTGTCGTCCTTCCTTAAACTATTCTTGTTATCACTATTTTTCAAGAAGTACCTGAGGGATCTTTCTCAAATTTTATGTCGGTTTCCCTGGGTCCTTAGTTGTGCAGGGCAACTTTTGAGACTGATCGGATAAACAACATGGCTGACAGAGCTACAGTATTCTTGTTTCCCTAGGCACATCTGGCTACTGTCACAGTAATTTGACCGGGAAAGGTGTTATACTTCAATGTCTATGATATAAATAACACTTGATTTGCCTCGATAACACAATATAATTTTATTTTGTCCATACTTGTTTTTTCAAAGGTTTTTAACCTTAAAATACTAATGAATCAATTTTCATGTTTTTTTTTAGAAATATACCCAGAGTAATGGCCGGCGACCATTTGGACTCTCAGCACTGATAATTGGTTTTGACTATGATGGAACACCTCATCTGTACCAAACTGACCCCTCAGGCACATACCACGAGTGGAAGGTACAGTGTTGTTCTGCAGTAGAACTTACGGATGTATGCTACCGTACACATTTCCTTTCCAGTTGTGTTAAACACTGAAGAAACACTAGGAAATGTGTTTGGATACAGAAGTGTCTGTATTATTGATTCTTCACAATGCTTATGTGTACGTCATTGATAAAATTGGTGTACAGTTGAAAGCTGCATAAGTGACCTGGCAGCCATTCTAGATGTTTAAGTTATACTAGGTATAATATAGATGTTTCCATGCGAAACCACTAAAATCCACTGGTAATACAATGTGACCATTTTAATATCATACCATTTTCATCCAGTGGCTTTGATATATCAGGTTGAGGGTAGAGAAAAGAATGTGTGACAAAATGGTCATAACCATTTTAACACACATTTTGAAGGAACAAAACAAAAACAGGATTTGATTATTGACAATTTAGCTATTTTGGTTATTGTAAATATAGAACAGAATCCAGAACAGTCAAACCAGACAAATCAATGACTACATGTAGTAACATCAGACACGGCAGTCTTCTGAACATCCCAGTACACAGAAACTTTCTAATTAATTCAGCTAGTAGTCTTTGAACTGTCAGAATTGTTTTTAAATTGTTTTACCACTACAAAAAAAAAAAAAGCAGAAAAAATCTTCTTGCATCGGCCTGTTATACCATCAGATACTGATATTTAAAAAATAAAATAAAAAAATGTATAGGCTTTTTCTTCCTTTTAGCGAGTTTGGAATTTAGTCTTCATAAAAGTGGGCCTTTTTTCAATAAAATTGTGTATTACATTGACAGTATATCTATTGTAGGCGAACGCCATTGGTCGTAGTGCTAAGCCTGTCCGAGAGTTCCTCGAGAAACACTACACAGAGGAGGTAGCCGGCAGTCAGGAAGAGTGCATCAAACTGGCCCTCAAGGCCCTGCTTGAAGTCGTTCAGTCAGGTGCCAAAAATGTTGAGCTGGCCATCATGAAGGAAAACGAACCTCTCAAGGTAAAGCCATGATCTCTAATGCTGGGATGTAGTATTACGTGTTTGCACATCAGATACAACTAAATTGTATGCAAAATTAATACATTAGCAGGTCCAAGGGATAATTTAAACTATATAGTTTTAACAGTTTAGAGAGAAGTTTGGTATGAACTGATATGAAATAATGAATCGGTCTTTAATGAAAGCTTAATGTTCTGCATTTAAATGTACTAGAATTCAAAGTCAGTTTGCATATAACTCCATTCCGAAAACTTAAAACAAGAGGCCCAGAGGGCCTGTATCGCTCAGCTTGATACATGTTTAAAGTACTACAGGCAGGTGAGCTAAAAATTACATACCAGGTATGTAGTTTATTAAGCATTTCAGTCCTACTAGAGGCAAAACATTAGAGAATTTTACTGCATTTCATGCAGAAACCTGGACTTAGTTTTATCTTGGATATAACATAGTGCCTGGGCAGGGGTACAACTGTTCACCAGGGAGCCCTGTTGGTTAGGGTGACAGGATCATAGTCGGAGGTCCAAGGTTCAAATCCTGGTCTGACTCTGTGCATATTTCTCTAGACCTTCATGATCATTTGTTTCAAAAGCAGTTGTAGGACAATTTATTTCGGATAAAGGCGGCTGGTGTAATCTTCTGGACTTGTTGTATTTTTCAGATGTTAGAACTGGAAGAAGTAGAAAAATTCATCGCAGAAATAGAACGAGAGAAAGAGGAAGAAGCAGATAAAAAGAAACAAAAGAAATGAAATGACCAGTTATCAACACCACACAAACTCTAGTATAATAATCATGTGATATCACTAACACTTCAAGTGTTTTCAGCTTCGATCTACGAAAAAGTGCTAGTAATTTCTATGCATGCTGAAAATTGATTCATTAATTTTCAATATGTACTGAAATATCATTTTCATGAATAAATGTTCACTTTATCTGTTTGAATCGATTTGTTTTCATTTCTGTTGCGTTTAAAGATTGTGTTCATGACCATAGACTTGTGGAATGAGGTAAAACATGTATTAGTCGACTACAATCAATCCTTGCTAATTTAGGTTCTCCATTTTTAGAGAAATATTGCGATCGCCTTATGTCCGGCTTCGATTTACATTTTCGACTTCTTCTCCAAAACCCCTAAACCAAATTCAATGAAATTTTGCAGAAACCTACCATGGCCAAATTAAAGGTCAACCAAAATTGTGAATTTTATGGTCAGCAGCCCCCAGGGGCCTGAGGGGCTGGGCCAAAAAGGGTCAAATTGACTAAAATTTCAAAAATCTTCTTCTCAAGACCCAGATAAGGTAGAATCAGATACTCTTCATAGATAGAAGGGTCTTAAGGTGCTTTCCCAAAATAGTGAATTTCATAACCCTGGGGTCTCGCGTTTCCCCCGTAAACTTTACTATAGTTTATATAGGGAAATCACATTTTGAACCAGCATTTGTCTATTTTCCATTGGAATTAATTCAAACTTGGTTAGCATTATCAGTACTGGATAGCAGATCGATGATATGCACAAATCAGCCCTGACTGACCCCAAGGGGCAGATGGGTGGGGCCAAAAAGGGTCAAATTGACTAAAATTTCAAAAATCTTCTTCTCAAGATCCAGATATGGTAGAATCAAATACTCTTCATAGATGGAAGCGTCTTAAGGTGCTTTACCAAAATTCAGCTACTTGACAGAACCATTATTTGTACATAGTACATATACTACCATCTTTCACTCTGCTTTTGCATTACACGTAGTTCAAGTTACCAAGTCTGTCTTCCGGCGTCAATATTTTACTTTAAACAACTTCTTCTTAATAACCGCAAGGCCTAGGGTGATGATTTTTTTTACCAGAAGCAAACTGGGATGAAGGGCTACCAACTTTGTTAAAATAAATGACCCTCACCTTTATTCAAGGTCACAGGGGTCAAATATGTTAAAAACTTAAAACAACTTCTTCTGAATAACCCAAATGCACAGGGTGATGATATTTGACCAGTAACATGCTGGGATGAAGGGCTACCAAGTTTGTTCAAATGAATGACCTTCACTTATATTCAAGATCAAAGGGGTCAATTGTCTTAATTTTTTTTTAAACAACTTCTTCTGAATAACCAAAAGGACCAAAATGGTGATATTTGTCCAGAAACATGCTGGGATGAAGGGCTATTTAGTTTATTCAAATAAATGAACTTCACCTGTATTTAAGGTCACAGGGGTAAAATATGTCAAAAAGTTAAAACAACTTCTGAATAACCGAAATGCCCAGGATGTTGATATTTGGTCAGTAGTAGACTGGGATGAAGGCTACCAAGTTTGTTCAAATGAATGACCTTGACTTATATTTAAGGTCACAGGGGTCAAATATGTTTGAAACTTTTAAACTTCTGAATAACCAAAAGGTGCAGGATGATGATATTTGGCCCATAACATGATGTGATGAAGGGCTACCAAGTTTATTTAAATGAATGACTTTGAATTATATTCAAGGTCACAGCGATCGAATATGTTTAAAATCTTTTAAACGACCTCTTATGAATAACCGAAATGCCCAGGGGGATGATATGTGGCCAGTAGCAAGCTAGGATAAAGGGCTACAAAGTTTGTTCAAATGAATGACCTTGAATTATATTCTTGGTCACTGGGGTCAAATATGTTTAAAAAAATTAAACAACCTCTTCTGAATAACCAAAATGCCTAGGATATTGATATTTGGTAAGTAGCATGCTGGGATTAAGGGCTATTTACTTTGTTTAGATAAATGACCTTGACTATTATTGAAAGTCATAGGGGTCAAATATGTTTGAAACTTTTAAACAAATTCTTTTGTTAAAACCGAAAGGCACAGGATGATGATATTTAGCCAATAGCGTGATGGGATGAAGGGTTACTAAGTTTGTTCAAATGAATGACCATAACATTTGTTCAAGGTCACAGGGATCAAATATGTTCAAATCTTTCAACGACTTCAAAATAACCAAAAAGCCTGGGATGTTGATATTTTGCCAGTAGCATGCTAGGATGATGCGCTACCAAGTTTGTTCAAATGAATGACCTTGAATTTTATTCAATGTCACAGGGGTCAAATATGTTTAAAATCTTTAAATGACATCTTCTAAATAACCAAGAGACACAGGGTGTTGATGTTTAGCCAGTAGCATGCTAGGACGAAGGGTTACAAAGTTTGTTCAAATGAATGACCTTCACTCATATTCAAGGTCACAGGGGTCAAATGTCTAAACAAGAGGCCCAATGTGCCTGCATCGCTCACCTGGTATTAATCTCACACTTGTAATCTTAATATTGGACTAAAATACAGCTACAGGCAGAATATCATTGGTTGATTCATAAGAACCTATTAAAAGATTTAAACATATGAAGCCTGTGACCTTGAATGTCGAACAAGGACATTAGGTTGAAAGTGGGTCAAGGTCATTCATTTGAACAAACTTTGTAGCCCTTCATCCCAGCATGCTACAGGCCCAATTTCAGTACCCTGGGCCTATTGGTTATTGAGAAGAAGTGGTTAGAAGATTTTACGACATTTGACCTCTGTGACCTTAAAAGTTAGTCAAGGTCATTCATTTGAACTGGGACTTGGTAGCCCTTCATCCCAGCATGCTACAGTCCAAATATCATGAGCCTGGACCTTTTGGTTATTGAAAAGAAGTTGAAAAGAAGGATTTTAAGACATTTGACCCCTGTGACCTTGAAAGTTGGGCAATGTCATTCAATTGCGACGATTACCTGTTTATTCTGATACATTTGTATATTGGGATTGCATATCAAACTTGAATTTTACCTTCATTCAAATTTATCCTTCCTCAACTTTGTACCAAGATATGATGACTTAAATTTACCTGGTGGGTCTTCTGATGCAGAAAATGACTGCTTAAATCAGCACCAATCAAAGAAAACAATGAAGAAAACAAAAGATTTTGGTATAACTATAATTGGATCATTTCATATTTATTTTGTATGGATTGGCATTGCAGAACCTGAAAAGAAGTTGCAAATGAGTGGCAATGATGCAGATGATAGGCAGACAGCAGAAGTTGCACCATAGCAACAACTCACTTTGACAAAAGATGGTTATCTAAACAAGAGGCCCATGGGCCTTAACGGTCACCTGATATATTTATACAGAGAGTTGATTTTGTTTTTAACATGAACATTATTCAAAGTGACAAAAAACAATAAAACCACCTTACTCAATATCTAGCATACAGATTTCAGACTAAAAAGGATTTGAAACTAGCACCTCTGATTCTTAACAAGGAAAATGAAGAAATTTTAGCACACTGACTCCTTTGAGCCCCACCCTACAGCCCTTGGGGGTAGGGCTGGCTCAAAATTTTCAAAGTATCAAACTGTCAATTCAAGGTTATAATTCCAATCAAGTTATTAACATGTAATATTCAAAGTATCATTTGCCATTATAAA